GTTGGACTCGATGATCTTGAGGTCTCTTCCAACCTAGAAATTCTGTGATTCTGTGATAATTGCACTTGCAAAACAGATGTGCTATTATTTGACTAACCGTCACTTAGAGCAACCTTTCCTGAAAAAGCAAGTGGAATATTTATACATTCAAATGCCTGATCTAATTGTGTTTGTGTGTGCAGTTACATGTTGCAATTACTGCTCATTGACGGTATGCATGCATTTTAAAAAAGGAACTTCATAAATTCATATCCCTAATTCAAATGTCTGACACAGATTATTTGAGGCCGGTGTGGAAAGAGAGAGACAAGATGACACCTAACTAAAGGTGGCACAGTCAGACTCACCAGGTATATACTGTTTTTTTCTTCAAGAAAATGTCAGCTGGGCAATGAATAAAGAAGAAAGAAGACAGTTTAAGGACTTACTTTGGCACAAGGAAGTGCCATGAAGAATGAAGAGGAGATATTAAACTTAAAAGTTTGGGGTGAGTTTTAAAAGTATCTGGGATTTTTCCTCTTCTAATGGTAGTTCATTAAGTTCTGAGCTTCAGATGACCCTGAGTCACAGCACACAAACATATATGATCAGACTTCTCATGAAAAAATACATTTTCCCTTTAAATTTTACATATTCTTTTGGCTTACCTATAACAAGCTTGTATGTAGGTAGTATGTAACTAATCTGTGTACCAAAAATTTAGCAAACACACAGACTTGGATTTGGATTTAAAAGCAGATCATTTTAGAATGACAGTTCAATGACTGTACAGAATGATATTTGGAGTATAAAATACAAACTAAAAACTAAAAAAAAAAATAATAATGAAAAGTCTTTATGCCAAGTTGTAGTGGATGAAAATGCTGTCACCAAAAATCCTCCAACTTCTTTTTTTACTTTCTTTTCTCTTCTTAACATGTGCATGACTACAGTAGTATATATGCATGCAAGGAATTTATTGATATTACTGTTGTGAACTTTTTTGAACGTTATCAATCACTGAAACAGAATTATGTTTCAGAATAAAAATCTGAGTTTGTTTTCACATGTTGTTTAGGGTTAGAGAAGAAAAACTTTAAGGGGAGAAAAAAGTTAATTCCTTGTCACTTATTGACTTCCTGTTTTGTGAATGAATATTTTTAATTCTGGTATTGACATCTTTATTCAATTGTATTATGCTCTTGGAAAGACCTGATTCTTTCATATTTTTTTTCTGAGCACAAGCATGCCAGTAGGGCTGTTTGTTTGGATCACCATGTGAAAATTCCTTGATGTCTTTGCAGACTCAGCTTGCAGAGAGTAGTCAAACAGATAATAAGAAGAACTAGTTAGGGGAAGAGTTGCTGTGGTGTTCATAGTACTTCACAGGACATTGGGTGAAACCAGACAGCATTATAAAATCTCTGAACAATGTGTGCAATCTGGGTAACTACAACCACCTGCATTCATTTTCCTAAAGCACCTGTTACCAAAATACTAGGGTAAGTGTTATAGTATTTACTCAAACTTATTGTGATCTATGGAATCACTTTGATAAATACATCTCACTACACAGAAATCCAAATCACAGTATATAATTACTTCGGAGTAGTTGAGCAATACAGAGATGGTTCCCCATGTTCCGACAGAGACTAATTTACCAGCAATCAGCAATGACAAACACATGTGCAGTGTTGCATATGGGAGTAATATAACCCAGCTGGGTAGGATGCACTTTTCATCCAAGCATGGCTTAGCCTGAAACCTTCTTTGCCTTGTATTTTAATGTGGTGTCCCCGGGATAATTACAAAGCAGATAGTTTCCTGCTCGGCTTGAGGTGAGTGAACATTAACCCTTTTTATTAACCAAACACAGGAGGTGAATGTTGCCAGAAGGGAAGCTGAATGGAATCAATCAACGTGTATGGAGAAGATGGGTGTGGTGGTGAGAGCCTGTTGCTGAAGGACTGGAGGAAATCAGCATCGTTCAGGGGTTGATAGTCTGCAAAACCTTCATAGACTCTGTACAATATAAGGAGGTTGTGCGGATGGAAGTTGTTTTATATGTACCTCATAATAATTTTCTTAGTAAAACAAGCAGCCTCTTGTTGTTCTTTCATGAAATAAAAATGAGCTGGTGCCTGTTTTCCATTTTTGACCTTAACTGATTGTTTTTCTTTACTTTCTTTGGAGGGAATTAGGGTAAAGATTGATGCAAGTCTCCCTTCTTTCTCATTACATGCTGCGCTCAAAAGATCTTGCCTCAAAGCTTCATTCAGCTAGTGTGAAAGCTGGAAAATCTTAAAGGGGTTTCATCCCTGTCCAACAACTTTAAAATGAAACCAGAGCACAGAAGATCTGAAATGACTCCATGGGTGTTGCAGGAAAATACTGAAGGCCACTGCACTGCTGAGGCGGCCCCAGGTGGCCACAGCAGGTGCATTCATCAGAGGATACAAACAAACACAGAGGAGTGGAGAAATCCAAGTAACACAAACGGGGCATCAGAAATTTTGGATATGGGTCATTTGAGGTCACCAATTGGCCTGTGGGGTCATCTGAGGACAACACTACAAAATTTTGGGGCTTCTGGGGTCATCTGAGGTCACCAATTAGCCTGTGGGGTCATTTGAGGTCACCGCTGCAAAATTTTGGGGGTTCTGGGGTCATCTGAGGTCACCAATTAGCCTTTGGGGTCATTTGAGGTCACCGCTGCAAAATTTTTGGGCTTCTGGGGTCATCTGAGGTCACCAATTAGCCTTTGGGGTCATCTGAGGTCAGTGCTGCAAAATTTTTGGGCTTCTGGGGTCATCTGAGGTCACCAATTAGCCTTTGGGGTCATCCGAGGTCAGCGCTGCAAATTTTTTGGGCTTCTGGGGTCATCTGAGGTCACCAATTAGCCTGTGGGGTCATCTGAGGTCAGCGCTGCAAAATTTTTGGGCTTCTGGGGTCATCTGAGGTCACCAATTAGCCTGTGGGGTCATCTGAGGTCAGCGCTGCAAAATTTTTGGGCTTCTGGGGTCATCTGAGGTCACCAATTAGCTTGTGGGGTCATCTGAGGTCAGCGCTGCAAAATTTTGGGCTTCTGGGGTCATCTGAGGTCACCAATTAGCCTGTGGGGTCATCTGAGGTCAGCGCTGCAAAATTTTTGGGCTTCTGGGGTCATCTGAGGTCACCAATTAGCCTTTGGGGTCATCTGAGGTCAGTGCTGCAAAATTTTTGGGCTTCTGGGGTCATCTGAGGTCACCAATTAGCCTTTGGGGTCATCCGAGGTCAGCGCTGCAAATTTTTTGGGCTTCTGGGGTCATCTGAGGTCACCAATTAGCCTTTGGGGTCATTTGAGGTCACCGCTGCAAAATTTTTGGGCTTCTGGGGTCATCTGAGGTCACCAATTAGCCTGTGAGGTCATCTGAGGTCAGCGCTGCAAAATTTTGGGGCTTCTGGGGTCATCTGAGGTCACCAATTAGCCTTTGGGGTCATCTGAGGTCAGCGCTGCAAAATTTTTGGGCTTCTGGGGTCATCTGAGGTCACCAATTAGCCTTTGGGGTCATCTGAGGTCAGCGCTGCAAAATTTTTGGGCTTCTGGGGTCATCTGAGGTCACCAATTAGCCTGTGGGGTCATCTGAGGTCAGCGCTGCAAAATTTTTGGGCTTCTGGGGTCATCTGAGGTCACCAATTAGCCTGTGGGGTCATTTGAGGTCACTGCGTCTAAGTTTTTTGGCTTCTGGGGTCACCTGAGGTCACCAATTAACTAATAGGGTTACTCGAGTTCCAGCGAGCCTTATGATTTTGTGTGGCCTCCTGGGCTCTGTGCTCCCCACAGCTCAGGATTTGTTTGCACACACACAGCTTCTTCCAGCTCTTTCCCTCTCCTATGTGCACCTCCCCTTCTCCCACACTACACAAGTTTCTTGTGCCTCTCTTTCTTTCTTTCTTTTTCTTTTTTTTTTTTTTCCAGCTCAGGTCATCATCTTGGTTTTGCTTTCTGGCTCGAATTCCCAGCCATTAGTTGGCTGATTACTTAAAACACAAAGATAGTGGTGCTATGCCTGGGGAAATAGAAAAAAACAACAACCTGGCTCAGTCATGGGCAGGCAGCTGCTGGCCTTTAGAGAAGCCTTAGTTTTCATTAGCTTGCCTTCTCTGTACAAATAGCTCCTCTGAGAAACAGCTCACTGGTGAAAGGGCAGCCAAGACCCCTTCCCAGCTGCAGTGATCCCTGATGATGGTCACTAAAAAACCATTATCGGTATTTCTTCTTGCACTTCTGTGTCAGCTTTAGAAACATATGGCTTGAAACCTTAATTTATAAAAATGAGAGTCTCTCTTGACTGCTATACAATGTCATAAAGCAGGCTTGATGCTGGGGATAGTGTCAAACACAGGACTATAAAAATACGAAGTTGTTATTTATTTTTAAATAAAAGTCTCAGTCCTATTCCCTGTCTCTGCAGCTGCTCCTATGAATCACATTTATTAGGCCTTATATTCCATTCATCCAACTCTGTTTTAATGCCGTGGCGTTTTCACCTGCATTGTAGGATGATAACAAATGGCTCTCATTTTCTTAAGATACTGAGAATGGGGGCAAGAAGAGCAGCTAAGAATTAGAACCAATAATTTAAGGAAGGATGATGTTTGCCAACGATTGTGGACTGTATAGTCTTCTGTGTAAGCAAGCACGCAAATACTGATACAGGTGTCACGGTTTTATTCTAGATAGGAGAAACCATGGCAGTTAGTTGCAATATATGTAACACTGCATACACATGTCATGAAAAAGAGGCACACTTTAGTGCTAGAGCTCCTCTGTAGCACAGAAGTGAAAGCACATTTTTCTACCATCAAGAGAAAACCAAACCCTGCTCAGTGGAGGCCTCCTTATCTTTAGGCAGGATTTAATTGATACTTCAGAGGTGGCAGAGATTCCAGTCAAACACTGTGTTAGTGCAGGGGATGCAGAGCAAATACAAGTCCCCTTCCCCCTCAAGGTGACTATGGCTGCAGCAATGAGAAAAAAGGCACGGAAAAAATATTTTATTTTGGCAGCTCAGAAACCTTTTTTCAGGAGCCTAAAACTTAGAACACAGGACACAAAAATAACTTTATTTTGTTTTAGTCAGCCAAAATTTGCTGAGCCTGACTTGTTTTTTTTAAAAGAAATGACTTGAGTTGTCAACACTGAGTCAGCTGAATACCGCAACCGTAACACCTCCCACTTCAATTAGCCACAGCACGTTCATTACTGTCAGCTAAGACACAGCTGGGCCTTCAGCCTACAAACTGTAAGTCCCATAAGGAAATGCTGCTTAAGGTAGTTTAGTGCTGAATTAATTCATTGTAGGTAGTAAATAACTAATGAATTCATATCATAGTATACAGAGGAGTTGCTACCAATTAATTGATTCTGGATTCGGTTCTCTATTGGCATCCACAATCATTGGGATACCTTGACTATTTGCATCATTGTACTTTATTTGCCCACCCACACCCCTTTACGTGCATCCCTAGTGCACAAATGCAACGTGACATCCCAATGAGAATCCATCAGCTCTGAGAAATGTGGTCTTACAGCTCATCCAATAAGTAAATCCTACTTTCCCTCTGCACTGTTTCATCCACGGCTTTCCTTAATACTCACCTTCTTCCTGTGAAGGACACAATACAACAATGGCAACAAAGATGATTCGATTTGGTTTGTCCCATGCAAGAAAGTTGACATATAGAGTTTTAATCTGATCCATACTGGGAAGCTCTCGATTTTTCTGAAATAAGCCCATTTCTCAGATTCTTGGTTTAATCAATAGGAAAAACTCTGAAGAATGGCAGAAAAGCTAACTTGAATAATTTAAAGCCTAGAAACAACAGCTTGGTTTCCCACAGTGAACACAAGAATATTTTATGTAATACAATGCAATATTTTCATAATTCTGTTCATTAATTTTTGTTAAAAAGCAAGAGAAGATCAGTTTTCGACTTAGAGTGATACAAAGCACAGAGTTCATGCTTCCATGGAGTCTGAAAATAGCAGCAAACAGGGTACTGTCATCTGGTTTTTATTAGTCCTTTGTAAACAGAATGTATCTACTACAGCCTTAAGTCCACAGCGACTGGCTTTGGTGACAACTACCTTAAGATAATTTGTAAGTGGTGAGGAAAAAGTAAGTGATCTTCACTTTATTCTTTTGTGAGGAACACCATATTCTAGATCTGAGCATCACCTTTGTATAAGTATAATTTCACAGAAAATTGCCCTTTTTAATCCGGTCCATGTTGTCATTTCTGCTTGTATCACAGCCTCTAAAACATTTACTCCTGTACAACTGAAGGGCAGTGAACTGTGGCAGAGGGCAGAAGCAGGCAAGAACCTAGTGGACCAGACCAGATGCCAGAAAGGTTACGATTTCAAACTGTAAGCCCAGTAAATGGGGAAGTGCAGCATCCAGGCACAAGGTTCACACTGCAGACACTGTGACAGGAGAACAGCTGGGAAAACAATGCCTGAAACAACTTCCAGAAAATGATGGAAAATAATTTTTCTGGCCCTGGTCCCTCCTACACTTGGGCAGCCCCAAAGTAGGCACTCTGGGGAGGCTGAGCTTGCTAGCTTGGAGCTCCTCCTGGCACACACTGCTCTGCATTATCTACCTTGTTTAGAGACAAACGCCTTTACCCTTTCTCTGTAGAACTGCTGGCAGTGTTCATTATGTACATACTTATGGGTTAGAGTACTCCCTACAGTGACCTCTCTGATCTACTCAGAGAGCAGCAAATAAAGCAGACGTGCTCTTGCTCTCTCCCTGTTCATGCTGGCCCACTGATCAGAAAACCATACAAAATTTTTGAGATCAGGGATAGTACACAAGAGAGGTCACAGAAAAGTAGCCCAGTGGGACCACCACTGCATGGAAAAGGGGAGACAGACTGTTCTTCTGCCTGAAAGCCACTGGACAGAATACATGATGATTTGGTTAGGAAATAGAAACTGTGACGTTTCCCTCCCACTTCTCTTATGGAAGTGCCTTCATATGGGGTTTCTACTTATATACTTGCTGGTGAAACTTGTATTAGTATTCTTGACTCTGCTTACCAGCTCTGCAAAAGACATTTTCATAAACATTCACATGAATTAATTATTAAAATGTTAGCCTAGTTTCATACTAAAAATGCCTGAAATGCTCGCCAACAGAATGCCTGTAAGTTGTGCTAGGATATTACATAGCTGTGATTAACATTTTTAAGAAAACAAGCACAGATTGTTCTGTTTCCACCCTGCAGACCACATAATTGTTTTGGTATGCTACTTTTTCTGCCCTCAGGTCTGATTCACTTTGCAGCAATCTGAATATGAGCTTCCAACGGCAGAAAACGACCCTGTTTTTATGTAGCAACCAACATTTCCATTACCATTCAACCTTGTCCATCGTACTTTGCATTTGCAGGTTGTACAAGGAGATCCCACCACGGTCCATATAGCGCCACTAAGTCTTGTAATTCCAGAGCCATCTAGACAGGTTTTCCTGATGTCATAGGTGATGTTGTCAGCCAGGCAGGGGTCACTGACGCAGCAGGGACAGCACTCTCCTTCTGACATGGCTGCGTACTTAAAGTTTAGATTGGGGCACAGAACAGGCCAACAGTCCACTTCTCCTTCCTGTAAAAATTGAAGCAAAGCTCAATACATTGATGGAATACATTCCATTTATTAGCTAACTTTGCTTCCTGTCAAATGGAAAAAAATTATTTTGCCAGAATTGAAATAGATTTTAAGGATCAGCTTCTCAGCCTGGTTGATCATGTAACTGCGTATTTGAATAGTGAAACGAAGTTTCCTAAATGTAGCAGAGTAGTCATTTGCTTGTTTCTTGACTAAAAACAACACTATTATTATAGGAAGAGAACTTGAGTTCTCTGGGGTTTTTGAAGACAGCATTAAATACTGGTTTACAATAACTTTCCTTAAACTACGATTTTTCAGTGATGGCCTTGCAGACTTATGCCCATATGGGGCATGGTCACATAGAAATCTCTGTGCAATCACAGCAACTGTTTAAATAGGAAATTATCAATGCAAATAGATCTAAGTTAGCATGTTTGAAAAGCACTGAACATGGATCTAACTAGCAACAGTCAAAAGGTATTTTACTGTCAACTGCTAAGAGTTGTTAGAACAATACCTGCAATACGTGTTATCTTCCACTTAGTGGAACTTTAAAAAAAAATATAAAAAAAGCAGTCATTGCTGTAGGATCTGAGCATAAACTAAACTAAACTTGCATTAGGCAACTTTGTAACTACTTCAGACGTTGATAACATCTATACATCTACACTGCACCTAACCTTAGATATAGCACTGATTTACTGTATCAGTGTCTTTTAGTTCTGTGTGTCTGTTAACCTAATCATAAAATTAGGCAAGGAAGTGCTGACCACAAACTTAGCATCCTTTGTAAAACCCATCATATTTAATAATATTTAATAATGACAGATGTCATTGCTGCTGTCTGCAAATGTTTCTTGCTGTTCTTTTGCCAACATTAAAATCATCTTAGGAGAATACAAAACACAATACTATATTATATTACATATAATTATCTCTTAACAGTAACTTAGCTTTGAATGTAATTTGTTTCCTGACTGCTCAGATACCTCTTGATTAATATCACATTTAAAAACAATGTTATACAGACAGCTATAAATGAAAACTGCTAATTTTAATGAAGTTCACTGCTGCACTAATTAGTATATCAGTGCAAAAATTAAAGCTGTAGGGAGATAATTTATAGTACTTAATGAGAAAATAAGTGTTCTTAATATTGTGTGTTTGTCCAGTAATTTTGGTTTTCTTCATTCCTTTTTTTTTTCCTTTTCTAATTTACCACATGGCACTGGCACTCAATTTTTCCAACTTTTGCTGAATTAAAAAAGAAAATTGCCTGTCTATTTTGATGAGACATGTATCCAGCTGTTGTAATTAAAAACTGAAACTCTTCCATCAAAATCCATCACATGTGAAAGAACCTTTAAAAATCATTTAAAGATCAGATGACCTTATAAAAGTTGTCAGAAGTGGACAAACACTTAAAAGAAAAAAATGTTAATATAGTGTCAAGGTTTCCAAGCTTTTGTCAAGCTTTTCTTTTCAGTCATTAGACCTACTTATTCAGCAGTAGGAAGAAAACTGGTGGTGTGTCATTTGACGCATGCCCTATAAATGCTTTAGTATCATTCTTAGTCTGAAAAGCAGGTGAAGAGAGAGCAAACGACCTGCTGCCAAGTACATTTTGCTAAAAACAACAATCATTCTTTGCTCCCCTCCAAAACACTTTACCCATACCAGGCAACAGCACTGGTGACAGCTGTAGGTCCAGTTGTCCCCACTGTAGTAGAGCTTGCGCCCCATTTGGTTGAGCCACTGGCTGGTGATGTGACTAGTCACACTCTGAGCAGCAGAAGAGATCAGCACTGGGGGTCTCGCAGTCACAGGCTGTTCTCCGGCAGAAAATTCTCTCATCCTGCAAAGACACATTGCCCTGCTGTCAACCACAAACCACCAGACAGCAACACAGAGCAGTGACCCAAAAAAAGCCCCCCACTATACACACACACACACACACACATATATATATGTATCAAAGAGAACGTCTTTGGCATATCAGAAAATATAAAGTTCTTAGCATATTAGATGTTACTGACATAAGGACTTGATCATGCAAGTTGTAATACCTTAAATACCAGTTCTGTCCCAGTTTCTGTCAGCGCACTGATTCAATGCTGTCTGAATGTGAGTGGTGTTTTTCTGTCTGCAACTAACTGAATTTAAAATAAATCATTAAGTATACCCTTCCTCTAAATATACTTGTATTATTCAGCCTTTTTAAGGCTGAAGAAAAGCAGCACAAGTTAGTTTACTTTCTACTTTCAAGCTCTCAAAACAATAAAAATTAAGCTCAAAAGCTTTAGCCTCTCCAGATGCCTCAAGACAAAATAATTCTCATTGACTTCCTAAGGTCACAGAATGCTTTATCTCTGCTATGAGAAGCAATGTCAACAAAACTTCTACCCTAATTACTCTCAGTTTTGCCTTAGGCATTAATTTAAAGCAGTTCATCTTCACCAGGAGGGGCAATGACAGCGGTCTTAAGGAGACTACAGATGTCAAGGATGGCTGGGCTGAGTACACAGCAAGCACAGCCAGTGCAGCTCACCACCTGCTTACCAGCCAGGTCATCACTAATTTTGAGAGGACTTTAAGATTGTCACTGACTCCGGTATTTTGGAGGTACCAAAATACATTTCCATAGTAAGCACAGCTCAGTCTACTTCAACGCAGAACATGCTGCCTATGCAGGGAGACAACACCTTCAGTGTTGAAGAGCTCACACCACACCTGTGCACTCTTCCATCAGAGGTCTTTCCCCATATTGACTAGCAACCTGACCCATCTTTTTCCAAGCAGTTCTACTTGGCACTGAGAAAATTCAAAAATTTCCAAGTATATACAGATACTTGAGCATAAACATCCCTTCATAACATGCTGGTACCTTGCCCTCTGTTATTTCATAACACCATCCAGCTGAAACACTCAGCTTATTATGTAGCTTCAGGACATTCACTTCCCCACTCTATTTGTTATTGGAAGCTTGTTCACAGAAACAACATTTTAGCAAGATATTGTTATGACAAGAAAAACCCTTTGACAACATCTTTCAGCAAGTAATTCACAGTTCGTTCTGCTCAAGTCCTGGTAACTCATTTCATTGGCATGTCACAAGTCTGGCAATCCACTGAGCAGGTTTTCCCTGATACTTTATTATTCTGTAGGTGGTGTTATTTCAGGGGTGTTGAGCAGTACAGGATGTAGTTGAATATGCTTTCTAGCAGATTTCCATCAGCACAAACACTGAGACCCATGAAGCCATTTTTTTTTCCTAAATAAATATTTTTGTAGTCAAAGCACTTAATAGCTGCTGAGCAGTCTACAGCCAAAAATAAAACAACCACAACTATTAGGTGCTCAGGCTGCCCATATTATTTAAGACATTCATCCTCTAAGCTCAGCTTCTAAGGAACAATTTTTTCATGCTCCAAAAACGAACGTGTAGGATAAAAAACTGCACTTCCGAATTCACCCTTCCAAATCTTATTAGTAAGCAGTACCAAGGAGCAGAACAAGATTTTCAACAAGAACCATATTTTTATTTATGCTGCATTTTTGCAAGAAACCAAAAATCCCTTCCAGGGACATCTACTAACACCTGGCTTCCAGTGGATTCAGCTTTGATTTTCTATAGCTTTTATAAGTACTGCAGTTACAAGTGTCTATTCATAGTATCTTTCATGTGCTAAATTGTAGTTCAAGGGACACTGCTACTTACAGGGTCTCACAAGTGTGTTAAGAAGCAGACCTCAACCCTGTGAGGTTACCCCAACAAGATGACCATAGCCATTTTCCCCTCTGTATTGTGGGAAACGATCTTGCAAAACATTAACTAGTCTTTTCCTTATTGGGCTCCCACACTACACATACACCACAATCTTACCATGGCTTGGATTCAAAGAGACCTTAAAGATTATCTGCCATCACTAACTTTGTAGGGCTAAAACTCAGTTCTTACTACACTTCACATCTATGATATGGACTACCAGTTAACAAAATATTATGGCCTTGTGGAGCTGGCTGTAATTGCCAACCAAATTTTGCTAATAGAATTATATCAGAAACAGTCCAATAATACTTGGTTTCTGCAACAACTGAAGAGAAATTACAAAAAGCTACCAGTCAGTGTGCATATTTCTGGAAAAAAAACAAAAAACAAAAAACAACAACAACCACCATTTCCGGAACAACCCACATCAAATGTTTACTCAAAGCATCCAAGTGTCAGTGGAACCACTTTTATGTGACATGAGAGCAATTAACTGAAGTATTAACATAGCTGGTCAGGTTTAAAGTTGGGCAATATAGTACTGAGATAATTAAGCAGCATCCACCATACAAGTCCCAGTATTTTATCAATTACTTTGAATAAATAAAAGTTCCCGCATGGAAAAAAGGCACTATGTTAACTGCAAAGACTCAAAAAAAATAATTTAATGAACTGACAGAAACACAATGACCGACATGCACAGTACAGGACTGTGTCCAAGACCCAGTGAGAATCTTGGCTTTCTGTTGTGAAAGCAGCAAGCACTTTTAGTATGAAGAAAAAAGAACACCCACAAACAAAAGAACAACTTACCTTTTAATTAAATTGTCTTGACTTTGTAGATTGCAATAAGCAGACAGGTTTTGAAGCCAATACTACAATGTTTTCTAAGAACACTGGACTTTCATCTGTAAGAAGAAAAATGTTTCAGATATCCAGTTCCATGAAAAAATGTAGGAGTATTTGGTAGTTGAAGACATGAAAAAGAATAAATCTCAATCTGCTAACATAATTGAATAGGTAACTAATACAAACACCTGCTTAAGGTATATTTTTCAGTTGATTCCCAACAGTGACCTAGCATAGATGTGATTTGATATATGTTTGATTTACTTCCTTCAAGGTCGAAAAGAAAGCTATGTATAAGACATAGCACTGAAGTGCAACAGAGCTGCCTTCAGTATCTCCTGCCTGAGTACCACACAGACAGAAGTTTATTGATGTAAAACCACAGGGCAGCATACACTGCCTTGATCCCACCTGCTATTCCACCTGAAGCCCTCAAGTTATATCAGAAGTACACAAAGCCTTCAAAGAAATCTATGCTTCTTGGGACATACTAGGCATCATCAAGATTCATTGTAGTGTCCATCATCATGAAGGAAGCGTTAAGGATACAGATGTCTGAAAAATGACACGAAAGGTTCTGCAAAGACTACAGCCTCCTGGGCATATGCATCAATTGAAAATCAAGTTGGACTTCACATTTTTATTAATTTAGCTCAAAAAAATTACTCAGTCAATACTAAATCCCATAGGGTGCTGCTTGATCTTAGACTTGCTTGAGTTTAGAGACTTCAGTTAACACCTCTGCTCTGAGCAGTTTTAAGGCTAGTCATTAAACAAGCAATTGTTCACTCTAGTTTTCTTCAGCAAACACCACACTATTTTCACTGCGTACAAAAATAGCTCTCATTAGGTGGCTTTCCAAGAAAAGGCAGTTTCACTTTCTGCTTTGAAATGAAGCTCCCACACCTGCTGTCAGAATCCCATCAGTCATTTTCAGTGGACAGCCACATTGCAGTACTAATGCCTGAGATTTTATTCCTGAGATTCTGAGACAACTATGAGAACAGCTCTGTTGAACCAAAGCTAAAAATAAATTACAAATTCAGAATGCTTGCCACTCCTAAACATTTCTTTAGACCTTTGATTTCTACAAGTGAGAAGAGATTTATTAACTAAGAAAAGGCTTGACGATCACCTGCTACTCTCTATGCTGAGAAACATAGGTCTTTCCAGGTAAAACTCCAAGGTCTCCATCACAGTCAGGTTCTCAGGAACACACCTCAGACACCTGAAACACAAGAGGATAAGGATAAAAGGATAAAAATATTTGATGGATGACCTATAGCCTGCAAACTCTTGAATCTTGCAGATTGAACTGTATCAATCTTTTGTGCTGCCTACAGTACATTCTTACTTCTGTTCTTAAAATAAATTAGGCAGAAAAACAACTGTCAAGCTGCACTTGTGACAAAAATCTTTTCTACTCACTGAAAAGGATAGGGCTACGTGACATTTTAAACATTCCAATTCTACACTAAACATCAAACTCCTACAGATTATCCGAACAGAAAATTGAGTAAGCTGTGAACACCTCCCATTAAAAAGCTTATGTTTACAACATTAAATAGGCTTTGTGCCAGCAACTTTCACAGAATACTTTCGACTAGAAAGAAAGCTTACAGAGAATAGCTGCTTCTTCAGGGTTGTCTTTGTGCCAGTCACCACAGAGAGGGTCATTGGGATTTCTCTGGGACACTGCTGACTCTGAGGGGTCTCAGTTAAGGCCACGGAGCCCACATCACACTCTCTGCAGTACAGGGCACCATCTTTCCCTTTAATCCAGAGAATTCTGAGGACACTAACTGCTTTCCAGAAGCATCTTTCTTTCTACCCCTCTGCTGTTGTGCTTACCTTCAAATACACCTGTTCGTTCTAAGGTTATTGACTTTAACTGGGAAATAAGTTATTCCAAGCTGTCAAACCCTTTGGCAAAAAGGGCATGATATACCATCTTCCCCCTTTTCTGTCCGCCAGAGGACATAAGGCATCTCGCTCTTCATTTGTCTTCACCACATCAAAGTTTACACGTAAAAACACTAAAATGGTACATACTACATAGCTTTTATTGGATCTCTGTTAACCTCCTAAAATTGTTTGCTCCCAGGTTTTCATTACTTTGACCACCCATGACTTGTTGATAGACCTAGGGTCTCCAGTGTCATCCTGTGATCCTTTTGTTATCAACCCTCAACCACACACTACATTACATGCCTTATCTATCAATACTTCTGCTATCACACTAAACTAGTCTCCCACACTACAGCATGAAGTACCACAAATCTCATTACACAGTAACAAACAGCTATTCCACAGCCTAAATACAAATTACTGTTATACTTCAGTTCTAAAATAATACAGAAATTAATCAGCTTAGGCAACAGCACGAGATTGGCTGCTACAAGATTGTCATCTGCCTATTACCCATGTCGTTTCGTATTCCCTTTGAAGTAAAAATTAGTTTCACCTTGATCCTTACAATTCTGTGCAGCTTCGTATTTCAGCAGGTGCATGGTAAACACAGGACTGGTGTCTGTAACAAGAGCTGGTGAAGTAGATGGAGCAGCGGGGCTCACACCAGTGCTGAAACATCTTAGGGCTGTCTTCTGTTGGCTGTGCAAGAAGTGCCTGAGCAGGCCTGCTTTCTTTTCACTAAAAGTAAACAGAAAGCATCAGTTTGAGGTAAGAAGAAATCTATCACAGCAAGCCTTTGCTTCAGTCCAACTGCTTCCTTAACAAAATGAAACACCAAATGCAAATATCTTCAACACACCCCTCCCTTCTGCCCTGGACCACCGTGAACTAGAGACATGTCGTCAACTACGGATTAAATAGCCATAACCCCATAAGACTGATGTCACATTTTATTGTAATCCTAAGGACCTTTTTTCATCCCACTTTGCACAGTGATACCTACTCACTTTAGCACCTGGAGATCAGTGTGAACCTAGCCCTGGGCTGCGTAACAAGAAAATGACAAGAAAGCCCTGAAAATCATCCCTGACTTAAGGGCACCCAAGGCCTGGGAGAAAGCCCTTCCCAACCTGTGTGCATTTTCCTTCCCTTCCCTGCCACTTAACTCTCCTCCTATTTCCGGAGATGTTATTCCCTGAGGCTACACTACATTATTAAGTTCAGTGCAGACATCTGGTGGTCAAAATGGCAATGGCAACTGAACATCAGCGATGCAGTCTGACCAGTGACCAGCAGACACATGTCCATTGACTACTTAAGAAGAGTTTGTGAGCTTGTTTCTGCAGGGATGCAGTTTCAAGTCTTTTGTGGCCTTACCAAACAGTAGAGAAAGAGGCTTATGCAGTATGGATGTTGCTTAATCTTTCTTCTTATACCACACAACTCATTTCTTAGTCAGGCCTCAGGGACCTGTTACTGCTGGGTCATTAGAGGAAAAAGTTAAGTGGTTAATATACCTGGAGTTACTCTTGTAAATGCATATCCACCCAGAGGGGAAAACAGGCTTGGATGTCATCTACATACCAAACAACGCATTCCCAAGAAACATTAGCTTTTTAAATGTTCTATATTGCAATAACTGCCTCAGTCAAACCTATATCATGGGGCAAATAAGTTGTTAGTTTTTTAAGCAAGCAGTGTTCTCAGCTGACAGCCCTCACGGGCAGTCACATTCCTACTAAAGATAATGCCTTGCTCTATTATTGTAGGCTAGTGCAAGCCCTGTGGTACTAGGATTTAACAGCTAAGTTCAGGGCAGCAAACTGTAACTATCACAATTCACTCAGTTAACTAAAGAGACACTGAGGTGTTTCTAAGTGTATAAAAACCTTAAAGGAAAAGGTGACAGGCACAATGGAGAAGACCACAAATCAAGCACAGCGTCTCTAAACTACTGGGAAACTGTCTTGAATTCACCTTCTGTCCTCCAACTCCCCCAACATTTTCTGCACTTCTGGGGTAGCTACAATTTCTGGCTACATCAGGAATAATGTGGCTATTTGTCCTTACCTGGAACACACTTCGTGACCAACAAAACTTGAAAGGTGCGCAGCAATCGCTTGCTCTGGAACTCATGTCACTTAAATCATTTCACGAGACACACAGCTAATAATTAGATGCACGTGGACCGGCATGAAAAGCTGCTAGACAGTCATCATGTTGGCATGAGCCTTCTACTGGAACAAGTGGGAGAACACAGCAGGAAAAGAAATACCATGACACCATTTATCTTCCTAAGTAGTTTTTAAGTAGAGCATTAACAGTATTTCATTGTTGCCCTGAGCGCTTCAAAGAAAAGGAAAAACCTATTAAGCTATCAACCAAAATGTTGAGTTTATTACACCCCTGTCAGAAACGTCCAAGCAAGTTTTCTGCAGTAACCTTAACTGTTGCAACTGAAACAAAAAAATATATTTACCTGAGCAGTCTGAAAAGCTATACATTAGTGTAAAGCAGTCATTGACATAGGAAGCTGACACCACATGTATTCACCTGGGTGTCTGCCGTCCGCAATTTCAACTCATTTGAAACCATTCTTGTAAAGCAGAATGAGGTCACATGGTGACAGAAGAGCACTACAGCAGGAGCACCAAGACTCTCCAGAATATATTCTCTATAGACCATCCATTCCCCTCTCTACTATCATGAGCAACCTCTCACTTTTAGCTATCCTGCCCTTCATGACTACAAGTATTTATATTAGAAATAACATTGTTCCTTTGACTGCTCTTACCAGAAGCAAACTGCCACATGGAAGGCTACTGCCTGCTAACAGAGTTGTGACAAGGACAGCTGCTTAACAGAAATACTTCAATAGCACTGTGATGATCAGACACATTATCAGTGTTTCATTTTTTAATTTTAATTCCTGAAGGGATTCCAAAAACCCATGTATATACATATATATATATATATATATATATATATATATATCATCCTAAATGTCCTCTATAACACATAAAGACCACTAAATCCAATCAAGGAACCAGAGCTGCTTAATTACATTTCCAAGCACTCTCAATCAAACAAGATCCACATTCCTAGTATAGGATGGGCTTGAGCACAGCTCTGCAGTAACTCAGAAACAAAGTACAAAGTAAACTCAAGAGCAAAAATTCATACAAGGGCTCAGAAACAAAAGCAAAGTGTCACTGATAGCAAAGCACAAGACAAGTCCTACCTGACAAAAACGCTGAAGTAGCTCTTAATCTTTTTGGTCTATTTTCCAGCTCCTCTGCTTGGCAAGCCAAAGATGTACTCATGCTCTGAGCTTCAGCCTGGTTGAAAAACAGTACATTGCAAATAAAGTTAAAATTAACATAAAAAAGAATCATCCCATAATATAACATTAACCCAGAAGTTTCAGTGGATCGGCTCTGTACAGGACCTCATAAATTGCAGTTTATTATTGTATGAGGATAACCACACTGTGTCTAAGAACCATTTCTAACTAGTGCTACCTGCATTATCCGCCTATTTCACAAGTATTCATTCTAAATAGATGGTTAGAAGCAAGTGACCTGAAGCATATCTGGTCAAGGGTAAGAAGCTTTAATATCAGCTGTGTAGAGGCCATTGCTGAAACCAGTATTTGTGTCCTGACATGCTTCTGCATCAGCATCTGTTCCCATTTGCCTAGAGCAGTGTGGAAAGCTTTACCATCGTCCTAGGAACAAGCTCTGCATAACATGTATAAAGCCAAATTTAGGACTTCTTACCTGCACACAAGGGTAATAGAAAGCCCACTGCATATATTACACATGCTACCTTAGTTTTAAGTTGTCAATATAATGAATCTGTATTTAAGTGTATCCGATAAAGAAACTAAATTAGATGACTGAATAACCATACTTGGCTCTCCCAGGGCTCTGCCAGCGAAGACACTCCCAAACCAAAGTGCTTAGATAATTCACACAGACTGCCTCCTGTGGTGGTTTCAGCCTGCTGGACAGGTAAACTCCACACCACTCACTCACCCTCCTCAGAAGGACAGGGGAAGAAGATACAATGAAAAGGGGCTCGAGCGTTAAGATAAGGACAGGGACCTGCTCCACCTTGGGGCTCTCCATGAACTGCATGGGAACTTCTCCTCCAAGCAGCCGGAGCACCTTTTCCCCTTCTTTACCAACCTTGGTATCTGCAGTGTTGTTTCTCTCTACATTTTCTTACTCCTCTCTGCCACCTGCTGTTCTGCACTATTTCTGTTCTTAAATCTGCTCTCACAGAAGTGCAACCAGCATTGCTCATCGCTGTGACCTTGGCCAGCAGCAGGACTCTTCTGGTGCCAGCTGAAACTGGTTCTTATCCAACATGGGGCAGCTTCTGGGCTTTTCACAGAGAAAAAAAAAAAACTGTCTGTTTTTCATCTAGAAAAGTGTCAGAAAAAGAACCGGGCATATACACACCCATGACAGAGCTCAGGCAATCTCCAGGGAGCCATTTAAACCCAAGATCAAATGGTGCTCCTAGCCAACAGGCAGAACTAGTGAGTAAAGGCACCAGGTGAGGCTTTTCAGGCCACTTAAGGCCTCTTAATGCCATCAGAGCTCCTATAAACTCAGCCTCACAAGAGGCAGAAAAGCTTGGGAGTTATCTAGTGTGTGAACTACATAGGTCTGCTATACCCAGTCACTGAAAGAGCTATCAAGTGTCTAATTACAGGAATCCTTTAAGGAAATGTGTTCACTATTTTGAGTGAAAATAAATTAAAATCCTCATACAGCACCTCATCACATCTCACAATACATGCTGCTGAAGAACGTCCGCACAACTGTGTGATAAAACAACCAAGCAGACACTCAAAGCACATAGTATTGTGAATGTTTACATGCATTTACTTTTTAAGCAGATTTTTCCTTTGGAATTAAAGGCAAAATTACCTCAGCATCCAGAAGTGGGACTGACAAGAAGTTTTAGTTGCACATGACCGAAGTGCAGTAGGACAGCAACAGAGAGACGCAGGTCAGGAAAATAGCGAATTGCAGCTTCTGGAAAAGGCAGTACCTCTTGCAAAGGCCCAAACCCAGAAGATACACTGCACTTCCCAGGATACACCTGCATGGCATAACACAGCCTTTTCCAGTTAAGCCTTGTCAGCACAAAAAAAACTAAACAAGTCACACTAACAGTACTGCTGAATGAGTAACTCTAGCCAGGGTTAAAGGACTCCAGTGAAGAAGTTAACCAGGGAATCCCACTAACAAAAACTTTCCTCAAGAAAAAAGGCACTATAAACCTCACTTCAAGTCAGCATTAAACCCTAAAAACACTTCAGTCTGTAGCAGACACTTTAACATGCACGGTCTAATTAACAGAAGATGCTGAGGACAACTCCTGTTAAAACCAGCTTTAGAATTACTGACAAATATCAATGCCTCCTATGCTATAAAGTAGCAAGAATAACTTGGGCTTTAATAACCCTGTGAAATGGAAGTAATAAATTCAAATGTTTTCACAGTTATACCACATATGACAAAACTTAAGTCATTAATTAGTAAGAGAAAAGTAATTCTCTCTGCCCAGCTACCCAACCATCACTGAACATCACTGAAAATACAGTTTCTGCTCTTACTAAATATGAACTCAGGAATTGGCTTGCACACAACTGATCTTGCATCTTTTCAGGAAAGCTGTTTGCCCCCAAATAAAGTAAATTCAACACTGTCTTCCTAAAGCGAGGCCTATAAGTCACACACACACACCACAGCTTTGCCATGCCTACCCAGAACAAGAACATGAAGTGCCTGAATAAAACTGGAAGCTCAAGAACACTTGGAGAAAAGCTTTCTCAAAGTGTACTAGATAATGAAGTTGCTTTTGCATTGGCTGCCTGAGTCCCCCAGAGGAGAGCAGGCCTTTGTGCAGGAGGCCCTGGTGCTCCCAAGGGTCTAATGAAATGCCTCGTTGTTTCCTTTTTCTTAATCTGTTTTTCCTTTAACATGTTTAAGTGGCTGTTTGCAGGTCCCCTGCTTGTTACTGACTGCCTACAGCTCAGGTGTGAAGTTGGAGCTGAGGTTAAAGTTGGAGGCTTTGATCCCAAGTTCTACATAGACTCTCAGCACCTTTCTCTCCCTGCAGGAGACGCAGGGTGCTGCTGCTCCCCCGTCCCTCCCTGCACCCTCCCATCCGTGTGTGTGACCCTGCTGCCCCTCAGCTGCCAGGCGCTCGCCTGGTGCCCATGATGTGTTGCCCAGCTGCAGGCTGGCACCAGCACATCCCCAGGGCTGTGGTGCAGGGCCAGGGCAGCCACCCCTTGGGGTGCACGGGGCTCCGGGTCCCCCACCACCCCATTTGCATCCCCATGGCCCCAGAGGTGTCCCCAACACAGCCCCTGCAGCGTGGGGCTGGGCTTTTCTCACCACTCTCTTCACACACAGGTTTTGGCACAGATCCTTTCAGTTCCTGCAGGTGGATCATGAGGCACAACTCACACGGTGGTGGCTGGTAGCTCCTGGTTTAAGGTTAGCAGCAGTGTTTGGCCACGGGTGTCAGGGCACATCCTGTGGGGCTGCTGGGGCTGGATGAGGGACCTGCACCCACCTGGGATTGGTTTCTCCTGCAGCTGGGGCTGTTTGTGGATGCAGCTCACCATTGCTTTATGTTGTTGCTTTACTGAGCAGATGGGACACTGCAGGGAGCACAGGCATCCAGGGAGCCCTGGATCCTTCCAGCTCCACAAAGCTACAGCCTGTACTTGTTCAAACAGTTTGGACTTTAGACAAGGTCATAAGTTAGTCACTGTCATACCTTGAATATTAATCTTCAGTGCCATAGTCGTGCATTGTATAGGCATTGACTGATTCAGGTTGGATTTATTGATTTATTAGCCCAGAACATCCTGAACATATTGTGCCTCCAGCTCGCAGAAATCCACACCTTTAGACAGCAGACATCTCCTAGCCCTGCTGGAGATCTTTGGTTCACTTCCCACTCGCTTCTGCTTTGTTTCATTTTCATCTTCATCTTGCTTTGGAACCCCAGCACGGGGTCCCTGTTTTCAAGCCTCAGTAGCAGCACACTGGGCCTCTTCGCAAGCCCCCGAAACACAGAGCTCAGCTCCATTTCCAAGCTCACCCAACTCAGTCCTGTGCCCAAGCCCCAAACCCGGCCAAATGAGCCCAGATCCCCGCCGAGCCCAAGCAGCAGTGTCCCAAGCCCAGAGAGAAGACCCAACAGGCGAGAGCCCAGCTTGGCCTTAGAGCACAGCACACGGCTCTGACAAAGTGCAGCTGGGTTCAGGGCCAGTGCCATTGTGCATTGGGCACTGTCCTGTAAAATTAATAAATGTGCTGTTTTTTACATAGCTAAATAATCTGCTTTTTTCTGTATTTAAAGCCTACATGCAGGGTGCCCCAAGCGTCCCCCCTACCATCCACCAGCACCACCCACTCCAGCTGTGGATCTTTGCTCATCAGGTCCCCACTCAGCTGTGAAGTGCCCACAGCTGTGGTATGAAAAAAAATAAAATAAAAAAAAGGGAAAAAAAAAGGAAAAAAGAAAAAAATGTAAAAAGATAAAAGGGGAAAGGGGAACAGGAAAGGAAAGGAAAGGAAAGGAAAGGAAAGGAAAGGAAAGGAAAGGAAAGGAAAGGAAAGGAAAGGAAAGGAAAGGAAAGGAAAGGAAAGGAAAGGAAAGGAAAAAGATTAAGTAGAGGTAAAAAAAAAAAAAAAAAAAAAGTCAAGAGGAATTAAGTAGAAGTTAAAAAATAAAAAAGACAAGAAATGATCAAAATAAAAGCCCACCCAAAAGCAGAAAGAGTAAAAAATAATAATAAAATAAAAGCATCACAGAGTGTCACCTCCAAGCCCTCAAAACCATGGGGCTGGTTTTAGGACTGGCTTTGCCATCCCAGCCCCCTGATTCATTTCCTTTTTTTTTGTTTGTTTTTTTGTCTCCTCAGGCAAACAGAAAAGCAGAGGCTGGGGGAGAATTGCTGGGACAGGGTCTCCCGTGGGGCATAGGGTGCTGGGGGAAAGGTGATTTAATCCAAAAATTAGATTTTTTTTCCCTTCTGGCTCCCCATCTGCAATGGAGACATGGCATAGAGTGCTCTGAGCCCAGCTTGGCTGGGAAACCTTGCGTGGTTTGCCGCACGTCCCCTCATCCCCTCAGTCGCATCCCCTATCCCCCACCCCAAATGCCATCACACCCTGGCTGCGTCCTGGGGGGTTTATTGGGATTTTTTCCATGTCCGTGCTGCCGCCGAGGCTGGGCGCGGGCCTGCGGGTGATGCTACTCTTGGCATTGCGGCTGGTCTTGTTCCTGGGATACTCTGGGGCTTGGTCTTGCTTCCCCCGGCAGAGCACGGCAATGGAGAGGCAGGTGGGGGCACGTTCATCTCCTTTTCCGGTAGTAGTAGGTGGCACAGACACGCACGTACCCTGCCAAGACAACACAGCGGGGAGCATTAAGCGCAGTGATTACAATTCCGCAGGCCGCTACCCGCCTTTTAACGGTCCTTTCAGCCTCACCTTTCTTCTTGTTCAGCGGCTTGTTGGAAAACCTCCGATTTTTCCTGTTCCTGCGGCTGGGGGGTACCCTGCCCCGGCCGCTGCCCCCGTACCGCCTGCCACGGCCCTGCCGGTGCCGCGCCATCCCCGCGCCCGCTCGGCCCCCCGGCACTGACCCACTGCTGGTGGTGAGGAAGGGTTCTGGGGAAGGGAGAGCCTTTATAACAACCCCCCCCCCCTGTTGCCAGGGGTGGTGGGCGGGGGCTGGTCCCACTGTCTGCTCACAAAGGGGCGCTGGCAGCATCTCCCTCTGCATCCCTCGGTACCCAAGGGATGAGCCGCCCGCGGCAGGTTGAGGCTCTGGCCTCAATCTTCAGTTTTCTGTTAGTTTCGTTATTATTTTTCATCCTTCTCCTGCACTTTGTACAAGTCCTCAAACGTGTATTTTTAAAGAGGTTCCTTTAAAATTAAAAATGTAACAACTTAAACACTGCTGAGACCGTCAGGGTCTGTGCCAGACTTGGGAATGCAGCCCGGCTGCTCTGCAGCGATGTTGTTTGGGGCCAGAAAGGACAGAAACTGGCCATCCCAACCCTTCCTGCTCCCCTCATTGCAGCTCAGACCACAGTCGTGCCTTCCTTTGTCCTGGTACAACACAGAAGCACCTTTGGGACAAGCCAGCACTACATGCCCACGCACAGGGATGGGCGCAGACCTCTGGACTGCTTCCTCCTGGCTCAGCACCACCTTCCTCTGTGCCTTGCTTCCCATCAAGTTTCAGGGGCTCAGCACACCCCAGGACCCTCTCGCCAGTGGCTCTCACCCCCCAACTCTTCCGTGTCCCCTTTGCCCCTCTCCCCACCACCCCACAGCTCCTTTCCAGCAGCATGGCGCTAGCAACCAGACAAGAGACAGGAATGCTTACAAGACTTTATTTGCAGGCTTGCACTGCACAGGCAGCAGCAAGTGGGCTGTCTGGGGAGGGGATGCAGGGGTGTCACTTTGTGACAGTGGTGGCCAATGAACAGGGAAGCTGCGAGTACAGGAGCCTGTAGGGAGCCGAATCACTGGTCTGTCCTTTTTCTCCTGGACTTCTGCAGCGGAGATATGGGAGCTGTGGGGCAGAGAGAGCATCGTGAGTTCCCTGCCTCACCACTGTGCCCCACCACCGCTGCTTCTCCGTTGATAAACCACCACGTTTATCAGCGCTTCTTTCCATCACCCACACTTTTACTTCGCCTCCTGCCGGTGTCCAACTGCTGCTGGCATTTGCCCTGCTCCCTGGGGCAGCTGGAAGACAATCTCATCCTGACACAGATGCGCTGAGGCTGCCGGCCACGCTGGTACTCTGGCGTGCCCGACGTCACCTCCATGCTTTCTGGAGTCTCCCCTCCAGCTGCCCCACAGATATGAAGGTGGCCGGTTGTGAAGTCATAGCGCCCGGTGACGATGCAATAGGGCAGCAGTTGCCAGGCAGCTACCCACGTGGCCCCAAGGGAAAGAAAACAAAGGGGGTCACCCCAATGTGCCACCGAATAACTCATCCCAATGCTTCACCTGGTGTTTCAAATGTTATTTCCAATCAGTTCCCCTTCTTCAAAAGCACACTTCTAAGGAAATAAACTGGACAAAATTGCTGTGAAATGGGTTCTCTCTGGTTAGGGATTAGCTAGGAAAGGGTCTGGGTGATCTCCTGAGTTGCAACATCTGGTGCCTCAGCCATTTCTCTCCAGACACAGCTCAAATTAAGACTCGATGCTGATTTTACAATGTGCCACTGCTGCTTATTATTGTTTGCTGGACTCATTTCTGGCTTCTCATGAGCATGTTAGTGACCGTCCTACAAGAAACGGGGCCAGTTTAGGGCTGTCAGCACCCATGTCCCAGCCAGCAGGACCCACGCAGAGCTGCCATGTTTGCCCTGCTCTGCACCAGCGGATTAATTTTGAAGCATCGCATGGAGGGGTTCATGAACTATTATCCTGAAGCTGTTTATAGCAGATTCACACAGGATTTTGTTAAAAAAGAATCAAATAGATGGCAATTCAGCAGTGCACCAAGTGACAGCTTGAATCATGTGGGATAGTCAAAGGAGAAACAGGCTATGTGTTTGTACAAAAAAAAAAAAAAAGTATCCATTTTTTCTTTCACAAATATACAGCAACCAAACACTGCTCTGCTCTCTATAGGTCACGAATGAATCTTTCAAAGCATTTTAAGTTTGTTGTTACTCTGCACACCTGAAAAAAATTGTCACTGTGCTGCACAACATTTCAGCTGGCATATTTGCTTCAGTGGGGTATCTCACAGGGGAAAGCACCCTGGCTTTTGCTCCATTTTCCAACCACAATGCCTGCCATCTGCCTTCTCCAAGGCTGGCACCTGGCCATCACCTGTTTCCACCCAAAAGAGCCATCTCCACCCTCACAAGTACCTGCAAGGACCATTTATCAGGCTCAGAGCACACTGCTTTGCACTCATAGGATGCACAGGATACTTTCCCTCGCTACATCTTATTTTGGATGGGTCATGGGTAGAAACTCTCTGTCTGGACTCCCATAGCAATGTGCTGCTGTTTTCCCTGGGTTAATTATTAAAATCAGCCCCATTTTGGAGGTGCTGGCACCCTGAGCCTAGGATGCTTGCCCCCTGCCCTGTTGCCAGGATTAATCATTGATCCAGCAATGCTCAGGAGCCCCAGTATAAATTCTGGTTTGGGTTTCCCACTGCTGCTTTTTGCACGGGGAGGGAGAGCAGTGGTGGTGGTCACTGTCCCTGCCCTGGCCACATTGCACCATGAAGGCGGCTGTCACCCTCCTGCTGCTGCTTTTTGCCACAACCCACGCCGAACACCGAGGTAAGAGCGCTTACCCCCGAAATCCTTGTACTGCTGTGGCTGCAATGGAGCTGTCACCCTGTACTACATAGGGTCCATGACACCCTGCGTATTAATGTCAGTAAACTCAAAAATGGGATTTTCTTTTTTCCATATTAAGCTAAGTGAATCGAACTGTCTAGGACCATACTCTCTGCTCTCAATGAGCAACATTTTGCTTTCTCTGCTGCTCAGTGGGGAAGCATAGACCTGCTAAAAAAAAATAAACAAACAGCCAAACATACATCTTCAGCACTGGATTTTAAGAAAGAAAAGGAATTCAAGACTTCAAGACACACCTACAGCTAGACACACTGATGCTCATCCTGGTAGGACAGTCTGCAGGTTTCCCTTCCTTCCAGGGACCATCTCCCTGGTAATGACAGCAACAAATCCTCAGACAAGCACAGCAAAGTGCTGTCTGCCCCCTTCATTCCCTCTGCTTCAGAGATGTATTTTTCTCTGCAGAAATGCTAGGATTTGTACCTACTACTTGTAGCCACAGAGCTCTCTCTTGCTTTGCTATTCCCTGAGCTTTGCTTGGTTACCAGCAGACAAATCCCCCCCCCGAAATGGCCTCTAATTTCATGCTGAAAGCCCCAGAATTACCTTTTTACAAAAATTTCTTCCCCCCACAAATGCAACCTTGCAAAATTACCCTTACTTTTTTTTTCTTCTCTCCTTACTGAAGCAATTTGACCTTTGGCTGATACAGTGGTGTATAACCCTGTGGTTTGGGTAAAATGACCCCGTGTCACATTGGTGGAGGCTGAGGCTGACACACTGCCGAAAAAGCAAAGGGGAAGCGGGCTAAAGCAGAGATTTGGCCGGAGTGTGAGAGATGCAGGCAGGAGAATGTAGCTGTGGCTGGGATCCCAAGGGGGGTGAGGGGGATCTTTTCTGGTCCAAAATCCCCAGGGAAGATCATGTCAATATTGCAGCAGAGAGGCCAGCTCAGTATCAATGTTTACCCTGACAGTAGCAAAGTCTAAGTGATGCCTTTTTTTTTGCAAGAAAAAATCAATATTATTTCCAAGGGATGAAAGAGAGTCTGGGGATGCATTTGCTGCTGCCTGCTCCTGACCTCCACAGCCCCAGATAAAAACCAACACTGCCTGTTTCAGCCATATAGGAATGTCCGTGTGGGTAAGGGCCAAGTGTGCCTGACATTTTCCTGCAGCTGTCTCAATTACATGGAGGGTTCCTCCTTCTCCCCCTTGTTTTGGATGCAAACTGCAGCAGCACAACCCAGGTAACAGAGCCACTTCCCCCAAATGGGCTGGGCAGCAGCAGCAAGTCCCAAGCATCAGGGACCACAGACAGGTCTGACAGGAAAGGAGAAGCTGTTGCATGCTAAAATACAGCCCTGAAGTGAATAAGGCAAGATTGCTGTTTTCAGATGAGACCTGTGTGATTTAGGACTGCCAAGAAGGGAAATGAGAATGAGAGTAAAACACAGACATGGTATGAACATCTCTGCATAAATACATGGGAAGAAAAGAAACATCATCTCAGCTCCCCAAAACAGCATGAAGTACTTAATAATGCTTTTCCCCTGCAAAAGGGGAAACATCTGAGTTATATCCTACATTAGGCTCAACGGAGCTGAGCAGTGCTGTTTTTTTTATTTGTTTCTGCAGGGAGAAAGGTCGTGGGAATGAGGCACCCACATAAGCAGAATCAGCGAACTGATCCCAAACTTTTTTTTCTGCATTTACAGGTAGAGCATATGTCCGGGACAAAGTATGCCAAGAGTTCAAAACCATGGGGAAGGACGACTTCCGAACCCTGTAGGTACCTCCTACAATATTTACCCTCCCAAATTCAGCATGCAAATTCAGCACATAAGCCAAGACCCCCCACCAGGATTAAAAAATAGCTTGGAAACTGGCAGATTTATTTGGTCATTTATTCACTCCCTGCAAACAAGGGCTCCTATCGTAAGAGCTGGTGCACATCCCCCTGGCCACGGCAGCCCCAGCCTGAGATCTGCTCCAGGCAGAGACCAGTCACAGTTTTTGAGGACGTGCTGCTGGTTCTTGTGGGACTAACACTGATGCTCTCCATGGGGTTTTGTTAGAATGAGTTTCATCAGGCTGATGTTGATGTGGGCTTTTAGAAAACACAGTGAGCTCATCCTCTCATTGCCTTTGCTCCCAGGACCCTCATCATGAACAGCAAGAAGTTCTCCAATGCCACCTTTGAGGAGATCAGCCACCTCGTGCGTGAGATTGTCTCGCTGGCAGAGACCTGCTGCACCGATGGCGCTGACCCCTCCTGCTACGATGCTGGGGTAGGTTGACCACTACCCTCTATCAGTCCCTAAAACCGTGGACATGATCAAATTGGGGGAGCAGCCTCCAACCCTAGGCAAGCATCCTTCTCCCTTCCTGCAGTCTTCAGCTCTGTCGGCCAAGTCCTGTGGCCCCGACTCGCCTTTCCCTGCCCACCCAGGGACAGCTGCCTGCTGTGTCCACCAAGGCCTGGAGCAGAAGCTGTGCCTGGCCGCCCTGCAGCACCCACCCCGCCAGCTGCCCCACTACATCGAGCCCTCTAACGAGGAACTCTGCCAAGCCTTCAAGAAGGACCCCAAGGACTTTGCCGACAGGTAAGGGCTGGGAGGCTGGGCCAGGCTGGAAGAAGCACTCAGGCTTGCTGGGATGGCAAGCCATGCTGGTCAACATCTGGATAATGACAAAAAAAATTGATAGCAATCTGGAGGGCTTCTTCATGTTCACGCTGAAGCCCATCCTTTACTTTCTTGGATGGAATATAAAGGTTCCCACCTTTCCTCCACTTAGGGCCACCAAGCTCTCTCCCAGAAGTCACCATGTCACTTTGCAAAAGTGCCTTGACCATAAAGAAGCTGTATTAAACATTGCAGCACTTGCTAGTGCTGCTGCAGCCAGACTGACTGCTGCCGTCCACAGGGATGAGGAGGTGATAACACCCTGCAGCTCACACCACTATGTACATCTTTCCCCATCTTGTCCCTATGCCACTGTCCCAGGCAGCAGCAACCATTGCCATGGCTCTTTGCCAACCCTTTTATGGAGCTACCAGTGCATCCAAACAAAAGCTTGGTGCATTCTGTGTTTGGGCATGCCACAAGGAAAGGATTTTACAAAATGGATGAGGGATGGAGGTGGCTTCTCCCCCCTGCAAGCGGTTAGAGAGGGAAATCAGGTGGGTCGATGGCTTGATGTAATAAGCCAGCAGCACAGGAAGGCGCCTGAAAGGCTGACATCCCCAGTACAGCTATAACACCCCCAAAAACACATCTGCAACTGAGTTCCTGGTGCTGGGGTGTTTGAAGTCCACATCTGCCACAGGTTCCTGTACGAGTACGTCAGCAGCTACGGCCAGGCACCCTTGCCTGTGCTCCTGGGCTCCACCAGGAACTTCCTCTCCATGGTCTCCACCTGCTGTATATCCTCAGCACCCACCGTCTGTTTCCTGAAGGAGGTGAGTCTGCTCCCCATGCCTGCTTTGCCCTTTTGCTCCTTTGCCCCACAGATGCCCACAGCCATGGGTGTCTCAAACCCAGCCTTGCTCATGCCCAGCCCAACAGCATGAAGCTTGCTGGATTGAAATTTTCCTTTTTTCCTTTGCTTTTGCTTCTTCTCAGTTTTGTGAAATTTGAAGTTAAATGACATGGTCTGAATTTCTAGACATGAGCGAAGCTGTTAGGAAATCCACCTGGGTTTTGGTAGGACAATTTTCATGAAGCTCTAATTAGCATGAAAACTCAGCAGAAGTAGTACCGTTGTTTTTTGCAGTAGGTAATAAAAGGAGGCTGAATCACGGGGCTGCTCACAGCATAACCAAACAGCAACTCACCAGGCACAGTATTTTTTACCTTGCTATGGAGAGGCAGTGATGGAGAAGTTTCCATTGCACCTGGAGGATATCTCCACCCTATCACCCACTCTATAGCCACATCTTCTTCTTCTTGCAGAAACTGCAAAGAAAAACCCTCTCCCTACTCACGCTGATGTCAAACAGGGCTTGCTCCCGCTTCACGGTATATGGGAAGGACAAAGTGAAGTTCAGGTAAAAAAGGGAAATGGTGTTTTCTGGCCCTTAATGCAGGTCAGCAGGGGAGCACCTTCCCATTTCAGATGGCGGTTCCTTTCTGGTTTTCACCAAGATATATTCCAGCTAAGATGAAGGTTACTTCCACAGACCAAGGCTGGTTGTTCTGTGTGGGAGTGCTTGGGTGCTACATGCACGGATGACACACACAGCGTGTAGGAAAGATAGAAATATAGAAATATTAGAAGTGATTACGGTCACTATTTAAGTTTACGGAACAGATGAGCTGAAACCCTTATGTCCCATCTATGCTGTGTCTGCCCAGCTACCTGACCATGCTTGCCCAGATGATACCAAGCGCTTCATTTGAGGACCTTTCTCCTCTGGCAGAGGACGCATCTGAGGTGTTTGCCCAGTGCTGTGACTCGGTGGCTGAGGACTGCATGCAGAAGAAGGTAGGGCAGCCCTGAGCCCTCCCCAGGGCTAGGGGGCTCCCTGAGCAGGATGCTGAGCCCCAAGTCCCCTCTGCTCCTCCCTCCGCAGTTATCAGAGCACACTGCGAAGGTCTGTGCTGCACTGTCGACCAAAGATGAAAGGTTTGCCGACTGCTGTGCAGGAAAAGACCTTATGCAAAACTACTTCTGCATCACCGCCTTGAAACCAGCCACAGCCCCCAAATTGCCTGAGCTGCAGAAGCCGACCAACAAGCACTTGTGTGGTGACGATGGGGCCCTCCATGCCAGAAGGTCAGCACCACAGAACCCACTATATCTGGTATTTTCACCCTCCTTGTCATTACACAACTTAATTATTTGGACTTTTCTCATAGTAGCCCCAAGAGACCCACACACCATGAGAAGGGCTTGGAAGCATAGGGTGTACATCACTGCTGCATCCAAGAGCTGGCAGCTTCAACAGGCACAGCCAATACTAAATATTAACTTGTTTTCACTGCCCCACTTCAGGTACATGTTTGAACTGTCACGGAGGCACACCAATGTCCCTGACGTCTTCCTTGGCAAACTGTACGATGCATCTGAAAATGTCATCAGGGAGTGCTGCTCTGCCAAGGACTCCTCTGCCTGCCTTGACAGCAAGGTGACCGGGAGGGACACCTCTGTTTTACACACCATAAACTCCCTTGTCATTGCACACTGCCTTCCTCTCCAGCTCCTGCATCCCCCAAAACCCTCCACAGAGGCTTTTTTCCAGTTCTGGTTGTAGAAATCCCCTTCTTTTATGCCACACAGCGACAGCAAGTGGGAGCAGAGCTGCCCACCTTCCTGGAAAACACCAACCAGTTCTGTGGACAGTACAATGAGATGAATTTCCTTGACTTCAAGAAGAGGTAAGAGCTCATCACCCTCTGTTGGTGCTCTCAGAAACTCATATTTAAGTTTGTCCAAGTCTTTGTCCTTGAAACCTGGCTGTACAAGCTTCATTTCTCCCATGGCATCAGGGAAGCATTTCCTCTGATGATGCCATCAGAATTTGGCAAGGTGTGAATTGTCTGCACCACAGTCTGGAGGTTGCACACACCTAGGTCCCTACAAAAGCCCACCCCTCATTGACACATCCTCCCCTCTGGCCCTAAACTATAGGCTGAGGGACAGCATGAAGAAGACTATGCCAGAAGCCAGCCCTGAACTGCTGACACAGCTGGTGGATCAGAGAGCTGATTTCGCTTCCACGTGCTGCCCAGCAAACTCACCACCTCTTTATTGCGCTGCACAGGTAGGGCAGCATCTCCCACTACCCCACATCACGCAGAAGGCAGTCACCTGCCCCGGGATCATCAAGCTTCATTTCCTTTGTCCTGCTTGCAGGTGACCGCATACCTGGAAAGTGCATGCAAGCAGGATTCCTGTGCGCTGATTTAGGTGTGGAACAGCAAAAAACAAGGCGGGGGGTCCCACTGGAGGATGCTGTTTCCTGAACAGCAGGGAAAGGAAGCATCCAGCTTGTATCCTCCCCAGCTGATACATCACTGCAGCCATAATAAAGATATTAAAAAAAAAAAAAAAAAAAAAAAAAGGATCTTCACCCTGGGGAACACCCAAACCTTGCTTTCTGTGTGGTCACATTGGGGCAGAGCATGGAGGATGGAGGGGGTCAGATTGGTGGTGGGAGGGAGGAGTGGTGGGTTGGATTGTAGGTGGGAGGGGGAGGTCCCAGCTCTGGCTGTGGGAGCCAATTTTCTAAATCATTAATCAGGAAAACCTAAATCACATATCAAGCACCCCCACACGTGGGGTTGCTCTCTTTGAGTGTTTGGACATTCAGTCAGCCAGAGTCATGAGTCCATCCTCTGGGATGGGACTTCTGGGGCCCTCTGCATTAAGGCAGAAATAAAAAGCCCAAATTTCACTGGTTTGTACTCCAAGACCATCATCCTTCTGGCTCCCTGCTAGCATTTACTCCCCAGAGCCTTCCTGCATGCCTGAAAGCAGGCTCACAGCTCTGCCCTGCAAAGCACAACCTCAGTTTTTGGGGAGTGCAGGAAAAAGCAATCAGGAGAGCGAGGAAGCAACATCTCAAGACAAGTTTGCTATTCAAAATAAAAACAAAAAACGTTCAGCAGCACTCCAAGAGATGGCGCCTGTAATCCAGGGAAATGAGGGATGCACTGTGCTTGCAAAATCTAATAAGGAACATGAACGAAATTTAGACTGTTGTGAAACAGGTTATCTTTACTTTAGTGATTGTTCCACTGTTGCACTAATTGGCCTAGGCCCTGCTGCTCCCCAAAGCAGGCAGAGCGATGCTGTTCCCAGCACCCCCAAAACCAGACCTGCATAAGGCTGTCTGACCAGGTCCCACATAAGTCTCCATGCTGGAAAGTTGATCTTGCCACCCTCTCTGTACCTTCCCATACAGCACTTTTAAAATGGTGAAATAACTCCTTCCCAGTGCTATCAGTGATGTGAAAAAAAAAAAAACTTATTATTATTATTATTATTATTATTATTATTATTATTATTATTATTATTATTATTATTATTATTATTATTATTGACTGGAGGGGTGGAAAAAGAGGCTAGGCAGATGAATGAAAAGTAGATAAACCAATAAAAAGAGACATACCAAAAGCCCCAAGTGCAAACCTAGGCTGCGCTGGATAATGTCCAGCCTTACAAGATATTGCAACCACACATCACACAGCTGAGCTTACTTGCAGAAACAACATTTTTCTTGACAAAACTTGGTACTAGCAAATCTCCTGTGGATTTAAGGAAATGGACTACATTGAGGACAACCCTGTGGTTGCTTCACAGTGGTTTTAATCATGGGCCTCCAAGCCCTCCATGCAAAAGATTATTCTCTTTTTCTGTGTGCATGTCCTTCCACAAACCTTTGCTGAAGTGGGTTAAGAAGGTATTGCCCCATCCTTGTCAGTTCCAGGTTAGAATCTCCTGCCCACAAAAGAGTCTCTGATAAACAGCTCTATCCCTTCATAATCCCACTTTTTTTTTTTGGTGCCAGGAAGAGGTTTTAACAGTTGGTAATGTTACTACTTTTAAAGACTAGTTGTAAAGGTTTGCAATGCGAGCCTGAGCACTCCCTTAGCAAAGTGTGCGCTTTCCTTTGCCAGGCACCACGTGAGTGATGCTGTGCCTCTCTAAAGAAGCTGGATGCCATCCCAGCCCACACCATGAGGCCATAGTGGGGCAAGGAAGCCACAGCAGGGCAGTGAGGGTGGCAGCCCCCGTGGCAGCAACACCCTATGGCCGCCATTTTGGGTCCCATGGCCGCCATTTTGGGTCCCGTGTCCGCCATTTTGGGTCCCTGTGGCCGCCATTTTGGGGCCCCGTGTCCGCCATTTTGGGGCCCCATGGCCGCCATTTTGGGGTCAGAAGCATCGAAGGGAGAAACAGGCCCCAGGTGGTTTTAAGTCACGTCTTCTCCTCTCTCATCCTTAGTTTCAGCCCTGTTTTCTCACAGGTCGAGCATCAAAACAACTTTCCCATGCCCTGAAATGCATGCAGCTTGTGGGGAGCACTGAGGAGAGTGAGGTTTGGGATGGGAAGTGCTGGTGTTTTTTTTAGCGCTATTCTTCCTCACTGAGGGGGCAGCCTCAGAACACCATTTTAAAAAGCAAACCCATGCCCTCTCCTAGCATCTTTCAGGAGCAACATCAGGCTGGCATGAGGTGCCCCTCCCAGCATTTTCTTTTTGGTGTGTTAAAATACCACAGGTCTGCGATGTCCCCCACACTGCAGGGTATGTTTCCCTATGTAGTAAGTGGGTGCAGATGGGGCAAAATCGTGCCAGAAAGGCTTCACCCCATACTTTGCCAAGCAATTTTTATTATTTTTTTTAATTTTATTTTCCCCTCTGATCCCTTTGCAGAAAAGCCACTACACATGCTGTCTAGGAACCTTCACGGAGCACAGAGCAGAGGTGGACTTCGCAGTATGACCCCAAATCAATCCCAGGATTACTGAGGTATTTTTTCCTTCTTTCTTCATAAACACCTTCTGCTAGAGGTCCCTCAAGGCTTTTTTGGCCTCCTCCAAGGGTGTCCTACCAGGTTGCACCCACACAGAATGGCACGTTGTCTGAACCTAGTTTACCTTTACACATGGCAGCTGCCTGCACCTTTATTCTGACTGGAAATTTAACTAGCATGGCAAGTAAATAGCTTGGTTTTAATCATAGTGACTAAGCTTGGTATGCTATTTTGTAGCTGAAATATATTTTTACATATTTAACTTATTTCTAACGCTGTTGCATATTAAAAAAAAAAAAAAAGAAGTTAATTGTAAGAAGTAGCATTTATTTCTGCATGACTGAAAGCTTTCCAAATGCCTCTTCTGTTTTATAGTTTAAACAATAAATTAGTTACCCTTCTGTCCCCTGAGGTATTAGCTGAAAGGCTGGGTAATGGTTGGGAGTTTTCACTGCTTTCTTGTTACCTATGAACACAAGTGAGGCAGAGCTGGGTCCTACAGTAACTGTGAGGCAACATCACTATTGCATAAGGAATTAAAGTACAGAAAGGCAATGTCAGCCCCTCCTTTTGCACTAGGTACTGTGGTCGGTGACCTGCACAGCAGTGTGAACCATTTTACTGATGTAGTCACACATCTTTTATTGATAGGCTTGGGTTGGGATTAGGGGAAAGAAGGAAGGTTTACCTCAGAGTCCAAATGCATATCAAACAGTCCTTGCAAAGAGCAGAAGCCCTGGCTGCCATTTCAGGGAAACAAAACTTTGCCAGTAACAAAATTCACGTTTCCAGGGAACCTCTGGTCTCTTAATGCAAGCTCACCTTAAAAAATACTGTGCGTGGGACTAATGGCCTCAAATTACAGAGAGAGAAAGTTCACAGCACCTTATTAATCTGCCATAGAAAGTAGCCATCTAGGCATAAAAGTCAGGCTATCTATTTCCTCACGGTAACCTTGAAGTAATTCAATGCCTTCTGCTTGGTCCTCTTGTTATGTAGACATTTGGTAATCCCCTTTGGCCTTTTCTGTCTAAAAGTCAAAAGAAGGCTTCAGAATATTGAATGCCAGACTTCAGCTGCACCAGCAGGTCTGTCTGAACTCTCCATGGGTGTACCCCTACCTGCCAGTCTCCTCGGTAAGACCAAATAGCTGAAGTCTGTTCCCCACGTATCACACTATGGGGGGCCCTTCTGCCTTGAAAGGAGTGAAAGGTGAGCCGCTTCACTGCTTTTTAAATGCCATCTAGCTAACGTGGCTGTACGATAAATGGGCTGCAGTAAAGTGAGAAACTCCCTAACCAGAAGGCCGTTCTACTTCACGCAAAAACATACCATGCAATGCAAACCAGTACAGCACCCCCAAATCATGCTTGTATGCTTTCCATTTCCACCGTGTCACCTCTAATCCTAAAGTCAATTCTGATCTGAGTTTCAAGACTTTGCCAGAGCTCCACAAAGATATGCCTGTGCACATTTTTCATGGCAAGCCTGCAAGCCGGCCTAGTTAAGGATTTTGGGCCACTTTTCTTCTGTTTTAAATTTTGTCCTGTACTTTAACTCAGAAGCGATTATATTCATGGCACCTCCCTCACATTCTTCACCTACAAAAGGGGCTGTTATTCCAAGCAAAGCCGCCTGGAAGTGAAATATATACCTCTTCCATCAGTTGTTACCAACACTTTGCTACATGGTAACCTCTGTTAACTTGGGGTTTCCTCTATCCAGGTGTAGGCATCCTGTGAATATGGTAACGCATGCCATGTTTCTTCTGGGTGACATTACATGGAAAAGTTAAAGGGTAGAGCAGGAAGGAGGCACATACCAAAGTGACACTAGCTACTGAGAAGTGACTTACAACAAGTCACTCTAGCATGTGTCTATAACTGCTGATGAGACAGATGAGGGACTTACATGCACACTGAAAAAAGAAAAATGATTGTTTTGGGAAGTCATTGTAAGGGGCTCTCAGCCTGATACGGCCTAACAGGGACTGTGAAGAGTAAATGAGTGACCCATGGTATATTTTCTTGTGTGTGCCTGGCTGTCTCTCCCACAATTTTTATACACACACACACATATACACATGTGTGTATGGTTTAAGCACTAACAAAAGTTTTGGGGAAATGCCAGTGGTGAACAGTGTGGGAAGGCAAAGGAGTCAGTGCTAGATCAAAGACCATATTAATGTGTGGTAATTACAAAATAACTGCAACAAGCAGAAAATCAGATGTCCTGGGTCAGCATGACATTGCCAATGAAAAAAAACGCAGGTCAGCCTAACAGGCAGGCACAGAGGAGCTTGGTGTGGTGAAGGGGACGTTCCCAAACGTGATGAGATTAAGCTGTCATCCCATATTCTGCACTGGGCCCAGAAAGGTTACGGTGACCCACTGGATGCAGAGGAGGAAGGAAGGTGTTTTGAGGTGACTCCTTCAGCATCAGGGATGTATCTCTGCAGCAGGGAAATGAGGTGCAGAACATTTCTAATCTCATCACAGAGAGAAGTAGTTATGGTCTTTAAGATGCCTGTAGTGGTGGCTGCTGGGCTACCAAACAACACACAGACCTTTGATGTACAGAGTGTAAGAAATGCTCCTTCACTGTGGTACCACGTGCACATTGTCAATAATTTATTTTGGCTGTAAAGGAGTTGAGGTCTCATCTCCATCCTCAGGACGTGGCTCAGTAAAATCACAGTTGTATGATGCATCATATCCTTCGCCTCTTTTAAGGAATGAAACCGTATAGGTTTGGCAATACTATAGAAAAGTGTTCCTGCTCTGACTAGAGGTCTTCATTCATATTTTAGTTGGCTCTGTTAAAATAATCTGTGGTACTTTCAACTGCTACTAAAATCCCTCAAAGAGGGGAAAACATACAGTCATTATTATCGTTTCTGCTCTTCACACAAGAACAAACTTGCATGAAAACTGGAGTAGAGGACACAAATAACACTGACTTAAGAATCTTACCACTTTTTTTTTTTTCTTTTCATGAGTATTTTCATTCTGAAATTAATTTATTGCAAACAGGGATAAAATTCACAAGCTGTCCTGTTCAGAAAACATTGTTACAAGTATTTGAACAAGTATCAAGGGCCTTCTGCTTAAATAGACAAGATCTGAGACACAATTACATTAAAAGACAAGCAAGCAAACCTGCTGATCCCAGTCACTCAGCTTGAAGAACAAGCACTATGCAATATGAAACAGAGCAAGGCTGAACTCCACAATATTCAATGAACAACAAAGCAAACACTGATGTCTCTAACAAAAGGCAGAGGATTAGGTCCGGTGTTATGTGTTTCACGCATATTTAATCCATAGGTTAGATTTTAAAATCAACTGTGGAAATCAGGAGAATCTACCAGGAAACTCAGTATTTCAGGCTTCTCCTCCATGATGTTCATATATATATAAGCTGAGGGAGCAATGCTGTTCCCCAAAACTCACACAAGAATGAAAAACACCCAACATATTTTATAGTCCTGCATGTTTGGTTTCCTACTGCTCCCCTCCAAGAGAAGCTTAAGCAACATGAGGTTGTATTTGTATAATGCATTGTACACAATGCCCTGTGTTTACTACAAAAGACAAACATTTTTGTCTTTTCCTTGCAATTAGCTTGCAGTGGTCAAGTGGCTTCTCCCTGTCCCCAGTGTAACATTTGGAAATACAGAGCAGAGCAGCAGAGCCAAGGAAGATGCACAGTTTAGCCACCATTAAATGACTTGAGTAATCATTTCCCTTGTATGTGTAACATTTTACCTCCTGACAAGTTTGCCACATGTCTGTGTATCTGTGATTTGTGACTGCCTTGTGTGCACCAGCTGTAACATACCCTGCTGGGAAGGAACGTACCCTGCTTGGAAACCACTCTTGGAATTGATCAATCAAATTCTCAGGTGCCATTTTCTTAATTTTGCTGATATACAGACCGCTTAACTGCTTCTTTCCTTTGTGCTGCAATTAGTGAACTGCCTGGCTTAGAAGACTTACACAGTTTACAGTGAAACATCTTTTAAACATGTTGGTCTGGAGCTGTGAGGTGATACTATGCTCTCCAACAGCTGTCCTGATAATGGCAGCCTTAACAGAAGGGAGATCAGCAGGCTAAATGAGAAGGGAAAACCCGATATTCCTCGAGGAAACTAAGAACAGAGTTATGCCTCTCTTTTTCCTAAGAAAAGGGTGCCCATACACATCTGTGTGGTGCTGTACACACTTGTTCCTGGCTGAGCAATGGCAACGCAGAAACAGAAAGCGGATGTTTCCCACTGCTATGTCTGCAGTGGTCACATCCGTGAGATCGTAGACAAATACATAGCTGTGGGATATTGTCCTGTGTACTTCATCAGAGATGTTTTAAACCCCAAAAACATTGGCACCCTTTTACTTCCCATCTCCTGCAGCTGTCGTTCACTGTATTTCCTGAAACTGCACAGCTAAGTTAAAAAAAATAACCTATACTGAAATGCATTTTTCCCATTTCAGCAACAAAGCAGCAGGCTGTGCAGACCCACTGGGGATCCTGGGGGGTGTCTAAGTGCCCTAACACCACAGGGCAACTCTTACTACTGACTGGGGGCTGCCTGATCCCCAAAGACACTCCTTAGAGCCCAGAACCGACAGCTCAACCCAAGGACTGAGAGATGGAAAAGAGATAAGACTTTGACCAGAAAATACTTGGAGGATCAGTAGCTGTCAGTAGTATCCTCTCAGGCATTGCTGAGATCTCTTGTGCTGTGCTGAGCCCTTCTGGGGATCTCACCCACAAAACCTACTTTTTCTGTTCAGGCTTTGACAGCTCCTGTTGTTTCATGTCTGCATTTCCCTTGCATCACAAGAACCATTCCAGCAAATTTCAGAGCTATGCTTTTCAGCTGGTCATCAGGTGATTGTTCATAAGCATAGCAGAAATCTGAACAGAGTTGTTGTGCATCATCTGCCACCTGTATTGGATTTCTCTGCCATTTGTAGGAGGAAAAATTTTCAGATGCAGGACATAAGTCAAAAGAAAGAAAAATTACCCACCAAAAGTGCGTATGTTACAGAGAAGTACCTCTGGGAAGAAACCCAGTTTAAGACAGAAGATAGCACAATTACCAGCATATCCTGTAAGACTTTAGATTGTTTTGAAGACTGTTTCATTTCAAGCATTATGAGTTTGGGGAACAGACCATCCCATCCCTGTAAGATATTGTCATTAAGTGCGGCAGAAAATTTTATTTTTTTTATTTTATTATTATTATTTTTTTTAATCAGAAGTATGGAGCACACTGGGCTGTAATGGTCCATACACTGACCTCAGGAGGAATCCTGCTAGAGAGACAAAATACCTGGCACACCAGAAGCAGCTCCTAAAATAGAGGAACCTTTCAAAAGATAGCAAGCCCCATTAAAATACCTCAGACCCTTCTACCACCAAATCACGCAGCTGATCCTGACCAGTTCTCAGTGCTGGTGACCTCTTAATCTACTTAATGCCTTCACTCACGCACTCTCCACATGGTGCTGGGCATTGTCCAGGACGCAGGGCAACTGCCATGGAGATAAGGTGACAACAAAAATGAAAACACAAGGGTCACAGCAAGTGACTTCAGACTGGAAACCGACTGCAAGCCTGCACTGAGGTTACTGCGATCTGTACCTTCAGGCACCGCGACTCCTGCCTGGAGCAGAGCTGTCACCACGCTAGCCTGAACATACACACCTTTTTCTTCCAGCCAGGGACTTTCTACAGCATTCTGCAGTCATTTCTTGCAACACAAGTTAGTGTTTAACAGGCCGAAGTCTAGCCTTACAGTGGCAGGCAAAAAGGTCACTGAACTGGCTTCACTGGAAAAAAATAATGCAAGAGCCAGCCTTTCACTTAGATGTGCCGAAGGGGAGTGGGATGTTTAATTTTAAAAAGCGGTGAGAAATCTCCAAAGCTTTCAGTTTATCGTGGACGCTTGCCACAGAGTGAAAATACTGTCATTGTGACTGACTGCAAATAGCCAAAATAGTGTAAGGATGAGGAACGAATGAAGAAAGATTGAGAACAAGTCCCTGGGTGCCAGATATCAGACTTCCTAGTGTTTTTTTTTTGTTTTGTTTTTTTGTTTCCTTCAGAGAAATATCCCCACACAGTGGTCCCGTCACTGCATGCCATCACAAAATACCCAAAACCTCATCGCCTGTCTTACTGAGTAGATTTCCAGCTTGTGTAAAATAGGCTTCTGTCTCTCTCTCTTTGAGGTTGTGCTTGCAAGAGGATTAAATTATTATTATTATTATTTTTTTTTGAAATGCTGGGTATTAGAAATTAGAAATTAACTTCTCTGCTGAAACCAGACAGGCTGGCAGACACACATCTGTTCTTAACAAAAGGAGAGGAGGGTGCAAGGGAGACCCTTCATACAGGCAGTGCTAAATTGCACTAGTGTATTAGAGGCATGTACTGAAAAGGCCACATTTTCTCTTGAAGTGTGCTGACAGCTCTGTTTTTATGAACCTTGTTTAGGAGAGGTTTTTTTGTTTATTTGGTTGGTTTTTACATTTGAACCAAACATATTTCAAATCCTCTGAAGTCCCTGTAAAGAGGGACATAAAAGCTTCCCCAAGTTAGAATGGTTAACCTAAGTGAATTATGCTTGCACAAGGCTTCCAATACCATAACAAGCCATAAAAAAAGCAACAAAACAAAACAACAATTATAAAAGCAAGGAAACATGGAAATGGTTCCTCCATGCAGCATTTCACTGGCCAGCCACTGGCAGAAAGCCCTCACAGTGCCTCTGCTGTTAGGGGAAGCAGAGCCTCAGCTCCATCCAAAGACCCAGCCCAGCAGCTGCCTTCGCAGCCTGCTTGGACAGACCCCAAACACATGCTATTTTCAGCCCAACATGGGAAGCAGGTTCTAACATCCAGGCTTTCTTGCAGGGCACATCTCTGGCAGCACCTCTGTCCCACGTCCTTCCTGAGGAAGAGAGTTCAGGTCAACTTAAAACGATAGATTCCCAAATTCTTCCCTGAATCCGGTAAGACACTCGTCTTTGAGGCATTATGTGTAGTGTGCTCTGATGACATCTTGGGATGTACACGCATCCCTGGCATTTGTTGGCCTTTGAAACCTTACACATCAGCCCTCTAGCAGAACTTAATTCAAGGTGCTAATCTAGCAGATCTTAAAGCCTTTAAGACCTTTAAGGTCTTTTTCCTGGAGAAAAGAGTCATTCTTTGCTGGTTGGAAAGGATGCAGGATTGACAGCATAGAGCCAATACCCCCTTACCTGAAACAAACACATTTTCATGCAACATGTGTACAAGGTCATTGTGGTCCTGCCCAGACAAGTTTTCCACTGAAACACCGATGGTGAGGCAGACAGGAGCATGCAAAATAGTCATTCACCAATTTAGGCATCCCATGGCCAGCAAAAGGAGTTCAGACACTGAACAGTTCAGTCAACCCTTAGATCACCTAAGACCCTTATTTATAAGGTGACAGGTGCCATATTTCATAGTGTATAATTTTGCATTTTAAATCCTGTTTATTCTGTGCTTCAAATTTGCACGTGACTGGGTCAGCAGAGAGGAATGGGATCCTGTTAACCATTTGTCTGCAAATGCATTTGCCTCTCTCCTGAGAAAGCTGGGTTGAATTGCAAAGGCTAATTAGAAAGCATAAATACAGCATTTACTCATTTTCCAGGGCCAGGTTTCTTGATGTCAGCACCAAGGGTTTGTGAGGTTGAGATCTTATGTCGTGGGTTTGTGCAGAGGTACAAAGAGTCAAAATCATATGGAGGCTATTTTTGAGTGCCCTGCAAACCCTCCTGCATCAATCATTTAATATGTAAAATGTTAGTGAGGTAAGAGCTGGACCACACTGACTCATGTGGCTAAAGCTGACACCTCCTGTTTTCACACCTGGAAAACCACGAGGCCGAGTGCATTTTGTTTGTGCAAGGAGGTCCACGTCCATCCTAACAACAACTTCTGGCCTTGCGTGTGCAATTTAAATAATAAGCATATTCATGGAAACAGCTGAGAGCGCTGAAACGCTCTTTCAGCGCTCTTGAGAAAAAGGAAATCAGGAGGCTGCATTCGTGATGCAGCAACTGGGGAATTTCCAGCAGCTAAGCTTGCTGCCTTCGTTGGCTTTGGGCTTGTTTGGTGATAAATTGGTAAAGGCAGGTGTATATATATACACGCAGGGCTACTTTAAGGGGAGCCTAGTTCTCTAAAGGGCTTTTCTACACATGGTGACTCAGAATAAATAATCTGAATTAATTATGCCACAGCTGCAAAGTAGGTCAGAGATACTGAATTAAAACTCTGTAACAACATTCCCACTTCCTTAGACCAGACATGACATTCACTTGGTTTACCAAGGACATAAGTGTACAACCAAATAAACAAAGCCCGTGAACATGCGAGTTCCTGAAGCCTCAGTCTGAACAATCAGAAACGTGACATGAGACAGATGTCAGCAGGGGAGGGTGCTGGGAAGTGACTGTGTATTTGGCATCAGCACCTTACAGCATCTATTTGTACCTGTGTTTCAGTCCTTCCTCCAATGTTCAAGTCGAAGGTAAGTACCTGAAAACACACCTGTTCTTGACAGACAGTCTGAATTCACAGGGAGGGGTGTGTTTTAACATCTACCAGAATGAATCCACCACGCTTTGTATTCAAGGTTTTGGCTGGGTTTAGGACAACATTTTGACGCTGTCTTCCAGTTGGCAGATCTCACAGGAGGCTTTCACGTGCTTGACAGAGGTTTCAGCAGGGTCAGGCTGCGGATCATGGAAACTGTGACCCTGATGCTGCCTTTGGTCCTGATTCGGGAGCTGTGAAACCAGGGAGTAAACACTGCTCTGCCTGGCTTGCCTGTGCTAACAGGGATGTTGAAATGCCAGATTTGGAGAGAAGTCTTAAACGGCCAGGAAAAAAAAAAACGTAAACAAGAACAAGTCTTCTTTCTTTGCTGAACCTCCCCTGCTTACTAAATGCTATTTATGGGTGAGGAAAATCATGTAAAATCAGATAACAAAAAAAAAGCAGTGGGTGAATCACCATGAGGAGGGCAGAGCCCTGAAAATCCATCTTCAGGGATCAGGTTCATGATGACGAAGTGCATCATTTGTCAGTCATTAGCACAGGTACAGCTTGCATGCTTTTAATTCTAATCTGTTCTCAAAGCAGACAATGTATTTACAAGGACAAGAACTTTCAAGTGATCCTTGTTCCTTACCCCAATGTAATGGCTTACACAAACCTGCCTGCACACCCTGGCTTCGGCTCTTGCAAAACAAATATTCATCTCCAAGCCGCCACTACTGCCTGTGCAAACGCAGGGGCTGCATAAGCAAAGGCAAAGGTTGTTGAAGTTCAGTTACTGAAGTTTGCAGTGAGAGCCTGAGACTTTCAGCTGGTACAAGTCAGAATAGCTTCCCCCAAATCAGGAGGACTACGATAACTATGTATGGTCTTTCTAAGCCTCAGAGATAATTCAGAGAGCATGACTGGATGCTCTTCAAATATTGTTACTCATGGTTTTTGCTGAAGAATCAGGAATCTCTCAGACATGCATGATATCGACGGTTTCCAAAGAAATAAGCATAGAAAAGTTTGGCTCAAATCGCTTCTTCACACTTGGTCTTTTTTCAGAGATGCTGATTTCTCTGCTACATTTCTTGCTGATGACTAAAGATGAAAGCTTGTGAGAAAATCTGTGAAAATAGTGATATAAACCAGGGCTGACTGACTGGTGTTGGTATCCAACATCCCAACAGAGACTAAAATCTAGTCTGTGGCCCTCCACATGCAATGGGGTTTCTCCCATATCTTCCGTGGAAGAAACTAATCAGATGAAAGGGCACATAAGATCAATGGAGAAACTATTTGCCACCAGCACTGGGTGAAGTCAATGAATAAAAGTTCACTTCCAGAGATCTCGGGAACAAAAGCTAACCTATGGCTCTGTGCAGCTCGCATTACAACTGTGTAAGCAGTGGCTGCTTACTTTTATGGCTACGGTACTCAGTTCAGAATTACATCCATGCTCTTCTAGGCACTGGTTAAACAAACAGGAAGACAATCTCTGTGTCAGTGTTTACAGTACGAGTGGGTAAGGAGGAAACTCTACAGATAACCTGTCAAGCACTGGTCAAAGGTGTCTGTTTTAATCTGGACTTTTTTCCCCCACCCTCTCTCTAGCAGTACTCACACATCCACTCCGCTAGGCAACACCACAACACAACAGGCTCCCTCGCAACTGAGCTGAGCTGACCTCTGCATTGCACGGGCTACTGGCACTGCTCCGGGGCTCTGCCTCCTCCTTGCCTTTCCCCTGTGTAAGTCATCACTCTGAAAGCCCTCAAAATAACATCGCCTCCCAGGCTGACAAGACAGCCATTTATTTCAATGCCTAAGCTAGTTTAGCTCAGAAGTGTTACGTTAATTTTAAATACCTTCATCTGCTGCCTTCTGCAACAGGCAGTATGTCAGGAACTGGTTTTAGCACTCTTGCATTTTACTTCCCTGCAACCTGAACAGGCTTGCCTGGGCCGCTAAATGCAATTTATTTTAGAGTGAAGTTCCCCTCCCTGCACTAGAGCCTGTAGAGCATCCTGAAGATACTCAAGAGCTGACATAACTGCTTAAGAGATTTCCAGAGGAAAAAAAAAAAATTCTTTGCCTCCCACCTTTGACCGTGACGATCTTGGATGGCAACTTTATTGAAGGACTTTGCAATGCAAGTGCTTGGACTTGCTCGGCACTGAGACTCTGAACTCCTGCTGACCTGCTTGCAGGGCCTTGCACAGGATCAGAGGGTGCTGGCTACACACACAGCACTCTGCTCTTACTTCGTTGCAGATAAAGGACATCTACTTGTTGGTTGGGGTGGCATTACTCTACGTCACTTAGGATATTGAAGGCTAAAACGCGTTCCTCAATATTTCAACACAACATTCATTCCTCCCTTCCCCTGGGCATCACCGGGTCTTTTGCTGGAACAGAAGAGAGTGCAACTGCTCCCTTCCCCATCTCTTGGCAGTATCATATGCAGAAGGCAAATGCTCAGTAGCACAAGGACTGTTTTTATTTTGTGTTTGTATGGTCTCCATTGCAACGAAGTGCAGGCCTGTCACTTGGTGCCTGAGCACAATTCCTGCATATCAAACAGCCTGCAGAGCCTGGTGCGGGACTGCACAGCTGCCCTCTGCTGCCCACAGCCTACACACGTGCTGGCTTTTGGGTAGCCAATACTTTGAAATCCTGATGGAAATAGAGTGGGGCCACACTCTGATGCTGCCTTGTGTGCTCCCCAAACCTGCCCACGGGGACAGGCACCAAATGTCACACCTGAGCCTGTGTCCAAAATCCTACAGACCAGCAGCAGCAGCACCTTGGGCAGGTCACAACAGGGAAGGAGCCTCATACCCTAAAAGATGCATGCAGTAATGTTTCATTATTATTTTCAGGGTAAGAAGTATAATAACTTCCTTTTGCGATCGAGGAACGTGTGAGTTCATCAGGGGAATAAATAACCCTTATAAAAGCATCAGTACTCGGCTGTAAAACACGCTTGGGAAGTGTGGCAGCACCTGGCCAGTATCTCTAACCTGGGGTTTCACCTTGTTGCATTACAGCAGCAAAAACTTGACATTGAGACATCTGTTCAACCTACTCATCACCACATTCATTTATGTTTTGTAGTGCTCTTTGCATTTGTTTTCCAGAAGAAATAACAGCTGTTTTTACCACTTCAGCTGCAGGATGAAAGACTCAAATCTAATTCATATCCTTCGTACTGCTGGCAAAATCTTCTACCTCTATCATGCATCACTATACATAGATAAATTTCTACTTCAGCTTCTTGCTCCTGGTGGTATCCAAGATCTCGTCACAAGATACTTGGCACAAATCACAATAATCACCACACATTTAGGTCCTGGCTAGACAGGGTTGTCATAAAAAATTATGAATGGGCTCTTAAAAGGTGTTGGTTTCAGCCGTGGAGTGTCAGTAAGCAGTTTGAGCTTACACTCCTTTCTTTCCCAGTGCTTTCCATGGAATTGAGGCTGCTACAAGGAGGGGGCAATGAAAGCTGATACCCCTGCCGGGCCTTCGAAGGAGTCACTAAGCCCTGGCAGCCCAAGCTGACATCACGCCCACAGCCCTGCAACCAAAACAACCTTTTGTCTCAGCCTTCAGTAGTTTCAGCATCACATTTGTATCTGTCAAACTCAAGAGGCATGTGGTAACGGCTAAAGATTAGAGTGACCTTCTGTGCTTCCAAGAAAAAATTGGAGAAATAAGATAAATAAGCAAAGAATGTTTCGTCTGTCTTCTGCATGTTTCTAGGAAATGTGCTGATGGATATAAAAATGATTGGTGCTTATTATCATTGCCATTCTGAGGGTGGTAAGTACGCACTGAAGTACCCCAAGGGAATTATGAAAGCCTCAGCAAACTGGCAGAGAACACAAAGACAACCCCAAAGTCTCCCTGGACCAGGCTGCATCACAAATCCTTTTACACTAATACCACAAAACTTCTGGCAAGGGTTTTACTGCAAATAATCAAAATACTTTTGGAGTAGGTGTCACTTCCTGCTGTGACGTTACATCTTTTTGGCTCACAGACCCTTCAGAAACCTGAAGTCCTGTCAGTAATCAGGCATAATTATATTTAGATGTTTGCTATTCTCACTCCTGAAAATGGACCTGTTCCAGTCCCTCATCCTGAACCACTAGGGTTACCATGGGACCAGCACTGTCATGGTATGCTCTGATACACCATGCAAGGAAAGCAAAGTGAAGAAATACAAGTCCTGGCTGTCTCCTGGGACCACAAGAAGCTTCACCAAGTGCAAAATGCCATAATCCAAATGCCTCATTTCTGTATGCATCATAGTACAGCAGCCAGATGGGTCTTTTGGCCTCTATTTTCTCAGCCTTGAGAACTTTGCATAGTGTTTACCTGCAGAAATTCACCTGAATTCAGTGCATTTTCAGTCATGTGGGTCTGGAAGCGACCTTTGGGCTCCATAGCCCACAGTTCAGGGAAAGGAGGACTGCAGGTAAACGATACTAATTTGCAAGACCAGCACTGGGCATGAGGGATCGTGTTTAGCCCTTGAAATGCTGCTCTTTCCTCAGGAGTGGCACGGCATAGAAGCATTGCTGACAGGCACAGAGGAAACTTGACTGATGAGGCTTGATGTAGTACTCCTTAAATGCAGCAATGCACCTTGTCAATGACAAGAGGCACAAGAATTTTGGGGAGAAAGCCCTATTTCTGTGGTTGCAAGTAAGATGGCTCCTTCTGAGCCTGCAGCAAAGCCACTCTGCTGATGGAGGCCCAACGTGACCTGTGCTGCACACAGAGCAGTTCTTCTGCGATTCTCCTTTGGGTACCATGGAAATAAAACGCTACCTAAAGACAGTCCTTCGAGATGGAGGGCATGAAATGTTCACTGGGAGAGATGAATAAAAACAACCTTAGCACTTCACAGTACGACAGAGTTAAGGGTTACCAGTCCTGGATCAGAATTAAGACTCAAATGGGAATTTCTACTGGGGAAGACAAAAAAAAAAACACAGAACCAGACTCCTTTGTGTATCTGTGCTTGTCCATTAAAAACGCCATCATCTTTTGCTGCTAAAAAGCAAGTGAGAAAACACAGCCTACCTTGACAGAAGGCTCTGTGCTGCAACACTTCGCCCTGCCCTCTGCATCTGTGTACAGAGCATGTTTATTTGCATTGGTGTTTGGGCTTCCATTAGCTTTAATTATATATGGAAAAGTCTAATTCTGCTGCATCTTCCTCCCTGCGGACTAATTAGGCAAGTGATCGTGTAAAGCCATTACAGCGATTGCATCCATTATGAAGAGTTTCATTTTAGAAATGGACCACTTATCTGAAATACCTCGCAGACCTTCCCTGCACATCCATCCCTGAGTCAAACAGTGTTTTACCAGGGCTGCTAACTGCTTTTACAGCAAGCTGAGTGACAAGGGAAATGTTTCTTTGCCTGCAGCCAGCTGACGTGCGACAGTAGCCTGAGGTAAACACAAAACAATGTTTTGCAACTCACCAAATGTCACTCTCAGAGAAAATGAGTACCTCCTCGTTAACCTTTCCAGCTTTGGGACCGAGCCACGCTCCCAGCAGAAGCTGCATTGTGCACCCAGGAGGCTTTTCCTGCTTATTCCTGACATCTTCCTCCCTCATTTGCCACGTGGTGAAGTGCTGATTTCTGTTACAATACTTTCTCCCATCAGGTTTCTATGAGATGAAAGCAAACAAATCCGAAGTTCCAGACTAGGTGAGCACAAAGCAGTGGTCTCCAGCCCCCCAAACTGTTTCAAAAGGCAAGTCGGTCCCTAACACACCACAATTCTGCACACACAGCCTGCCATATTTCCATCTTAAGCCACGGCTTTAAACACAAATGCACTTCTCATGTCCTTTAATCATGCTTGCCATCGCCAGATCTAGTAGCATCGCTGCATTGAGCAGGGCTATCCCCTGGCTTCCATGTTAAATGTTTTATGCTAAACTGACTTCGAGTATCAGCGACACACAGGTGCCTACAGACCTGAACGTGAGGTTTGCTTCCCTGTATCCATGGCAGCCACAGCAAAGAGAAATGTGCTCCTCTGTACCATCCTGCCATTAGGGGTTGCACACTTGTGGGCTAGGATCCTGTGGGATATCCTCCTTTCCTCCCATAGTCTCAGCCCCACAGAGTTTTGGAAGAAAATTGGCTTTTTCAGCATTAGCCTGGCTGGCACGGTTCTTGTTGCCCAAGCAAAAACCTGAGCTAAGGCCTGGCCCTGCCTCAAAAGAAATTCCAGTAGCTATTCGTAAGCCATAGGTGTGCCCTGTGCAGTCTGGAAGCGAGATCCATGTGATAACTGGAAACTTTTTAATTAAGTGGCGTAATCTCTCCCACCAGATAAAGGAGAGCTCAAATAACTTCTCCGGCAGGAGGGACCTGCATGACCCTGACGTACGATCGTGTCTCGCCGAGTCGAGATACCCTGAGTGCTGTACAGCTGCCAGAATCAACACCTGACCCTTGCCCAGGACAACAGGTACAGCAGGAGCTACTGAAGAGAAAAACAACACTTCTGACACCGGAAATCTTTGGGCGGCAGGTCGAGGCCAAGTGGGAAATTACCTCAGCTAATCCGATCACCAAACCCTTACGCTCTGTCCACATCCACCAGCTGCTGCCACCGACAGCCTAACAGGTGAGGAAGAGCCTCACATGAAGGCAGCTTTAATTTTACTGTTACTGTCTGCGTGTGCTCACAGGGACAGCACTCTGTCAACAAGGATGGTGAACTGCATTATTTGGATACGAAAGAGTATTCCTCTTCCAGAGGAGTCCCCTCTCCTGCCTTAGTTACTCACAGCCCCGTCCTGCCGTCAGGTTTATCCAGGATTATTAGGCATTACGTACTGTTCCCCATCCTGGGCTGTTGCAAAGCTGCTCACGGTCACCTGGGAAGCCTCCACCTGCCTTTCTGCACAGACGAACAACGGGTTGCACCACGCCAGCAACAAGCCAAGAAACATTTACCTAGGAAGATTTCACAGCCCGCAGGAGGTATTCTGGCTGAATAGAAGCATCAATGAATAAATGTCAGGAAAGTCCCCGAGCCCCCTACACACCACGCGGGGAAAATAAAATCTTTGCATGCAACAGCCCCAGAACACCCAGGCTGTTTCCCAGCCTGCTGCAAAGCGCTAGAAATGGCTCCTGGGAGGCAGCAGCATTGCACAGGGCAACCTCCCCCACGACAGCAAAGCCATCACAACCGTCACTGCTTACGCAGGGGCCATCAGAGACCTCGCAGGAACGCCGCTGCCTCCTGGCAGCCTGCTCCCTTCGAGCAGGGCAAGTCAAGCAGCGAGCACTCCAAAAAGAGGGCCAAGAGTGGCTTGTGCTTTTAAGGGGAAAGGAAAAGTTTTTTTTTTTTTTTTTTTAAAAAAAAAGAGTGAATTGCTATTAAAAAACCACAAGACACCCTTCTTTATTAAAACCGCTTGACTTCTGAGAAACCCTGGAATGGTCAGTACATCCAGTAACAGCACAGGGACTGCTGGCAGCTCCCTCTTCCACAAAATGACTGCTCTGGGTTTATGCAAACCGAGAGTATTTACTTGGCGAGCAACCCCCCCCCCCCCCGAGATGTTAGTTCTTGTCCCTTTGCCAAAGGGAGCAGAAAACACTTTCATTTTCTGCTGTGAATTGGTTTTTTTTTTTTTTTTGTTTTTGTTTTTTTTTTTTTTTTTGCCTGGTACAAACATGGAGACTTTTCGTTGTGCAATGGCTACAAGAGCAACTCTCACAAATGGGCCACACGAGGGAGGCAAATGCCTGGTTATGGATTTGGGGGTATAAATTGGCCTAGGGAGCCCCAGTGGTGGCAGTACCTGGCACAGCACTGGACACAGGCCCTTTCGGTGCCTCTCCTGCCCAGAGGACCCACTTTTTACCCCATTTTGAGTCCCCTTCCTTGCACCCTTAGTGTCACGACAGCCATCATCTGCTGCAAAGAACACAAGACAGCTTCTCCTCCTGCAATTTTTATTTCTGTGGCTTTATAAACTATTTCAAAAGATTTGAAAGAAAAAGACACTGGTTTATACGTTTTAAATTTTTGCTGCTCAAAGCAGCCCTTACTGGCACATCTGTCTGTCCATCACTAAAACATCTGCATGCACGTGAGCTTGGCAAAACATACGCCACCTTCAGCAACTCTCAGCAAGATAGCTCACAGAGTCAGAGGCAGAAAGAGCTGTGGCAAATGCACAGTTAACATACTACAGGCAGGAAAACAAACCCAATTACTTCTGCAAGGGAGGTGCTGTTCCCAACCGCTGATCTTCAAACTGAACCTGCACCTTCAAAAGAGGTCACCGATACACATCGTGCTGATACCCATCTCAGCCAGAGGGAGGCACTTCTAAAAAACGCCGCAAACGCATGGGGAAATGGTAACAGCAAACCACACTACTCGTGAGGAACGTAACTCCTAGAACGGGGCTCTCTTGCACACTGACACATCTGCTCAAAAAGTAAGAGGCACCCAGCAGGCACAGGGGGATTTTCATCATCATGACTGTAGTTACGAAAGCTTTTAATGACAAAACACCAAGCGGGGAGGAGCAGGCACCATCCTAATCTGAAATTGTTCCTTTACTTGATAAGCCAAACAATCTTGAGCCGTAAAAGGGCTATTCATATTAATTGCACTGCTTTTACAGAAATAATTAAGCTGTAATCCATCGCAGAAGCAATATCATGGTACAAATAACATTAGTAATAGCACTGAACTAGGGGAAGAGCGGAGTTGCAATAGGAAGAGCATGCCATAAATTGCTCACGGCACTAAAAAAACAAACCTACTGTGCAAATGGGTCACACAAAGCCACCATGGCCAAGTTTCTCTGATAGGAGCACCCAGGCACCACTGCCAGGCAGACTGTAGGATACTGGCCATGTGCTTGGCCATGGAGGGTTTTGCAAGCCCATGGGGAGAGCAAACAAATTCACATCCATCCTACAGGGGCTGAGGGGCAGGGTAAGCTGCCTGGGGACTGGGCATCTGATGCCAGCATTAAGTAACAAAGTACCCAAGATTTACCTTTTTGATGATTTCAGTCCATCCAAGTGAGATCCTCAGCTCCCGCAGAAGGGGTGTAGCATTAGCATCAGTTAAATATACAAAAGGCAGGGTGTTTTTCCCTAAAAATCAGGAAAAAAAAATTAAATCAAATCTTGTTACAGTCAATGTGTGGAATCACTGAGCCTTTTGGGCTGTTCTGGGAACATATGGCAATTTTTATTTTTTTTTAATTTCCGTGTCAGGAACATAAGATTTTGGGAGAACAATACTCACTTGCTTCTGAAGAGAAGGGGTTAACCAAGTACAGAAGGAAGCTTTGCCCAGTTTGCACATTAGTCACTGGGGCTGCTGGTGGCAGCCTTCCACTGCTCCTGCTGAAGGCTCGTCCCTTCGTACACACGGCTGCTTTAGCAGATTACAACTTAGTCATCCGTGCTGGCCGGTAGGCAAAGCTTAACAGGTCAGGGCTAGGGCTAAGAACTTTTGTCTGTTTTCTTTAAAATCAATTTAAAAGATTAGATCCATAAAAGCATTAAAGGAAGGTTGCGGTGGTTTGGAAAGTATTAGTTTTATCTGTTCTCTGTGCTACTGACTCTCAGAACTGCTGAGAAGCTGTTTGCTTTCCTAATGACTAATTTCTCCAGCAATTAAGGCAAGAGTTTGTTCTTGAGGCCAACTGCATCCCTGCTGTAACACCACTTACTTGAAGAGAAGGAAGACCCCAGCCTCATCACAAATTACAATTTCTGCCTAGCAGCTGGTGGGTGACAATTTATAAGGGAGGGATCAGTTCACAGGTGATTTCAACCCACCCAGCTCACACCCAGAGCTTTCAGCAGCTGCGACAAATAAATCATTTCCCCAGGCACTAATCCTATACCCCAGCTGGGAAGCAGCTGACTGGGTGAGTCCTGCAGTGCCAGGTCTGATGTATGTTCACAGAGTAGTTTCCACACTGACAAAATCAGAAAAATCCCGGACAATGCACAGCTTTTGGTGCTAGGTCTAAACCAAGACTGCCAGATAAGAGAAGTTACAGCAGCACGTAAGGGAAAAAGGATTGGAGATCTGCATCCCGTTCAAGCGCCATCATGGCATCAGCAAGATGTCCCTTACGAAAAAGTTAGCTCAGTGCTAACTAACTTTGGTGCCCTGCAGCTGCCACATCCCAGGCTTCTCCCTAGAAAACTGCCAGGGCTCTCCATGTGTGCTCCGCAAGACTTGTACACCCAAGATAGCTTCATAAAACTCCGCTCCCTTGTCCCAGTGAGCCTTTGTGATTCCTTGGGTCTCCCAGGGACGCCTGGCAGTCAAATGTTTCCTCAAAGCCATCTTCATGTGCTGCTGTGACCAGGGGATGAGTGTGGCATGCCAACGGGATGTCCTGTCAGTCACAGCTGGTGCAACACATGATTTTTTCAGTTCCTCCCGATTTCCCTTGCGTGGGTCCCAGGAGATGTAAAGCTCCTTGTGTAGGGCAGCATGGGGATTGTGGCTGTGCTGGGAGGAGCGTGGCTGTGCAGGCAGACCTCAGACACACTGCCTGCAAGTAACCTACCCGAACACTCTCATCCCAAATGAACAACCTGGGCTGAAACAGAGGCACCCTCTTTCCAGCTACGACCATCTGTGGACCATCTTGATGGCTGCAGCTGTTGTGTGAGCAATATCAAATGTCTTCCAAATGCTTCTGACACAAAAACGACAGAGGTCAGTGCTTATTGAAGGGGGACCTTTGTGAGTAGTGCCTGAATGCCAGGAGGGCTGCACGGGGCTGAGCACATCACAGTGTCGTGGGATGGCGTTGCCTGCCAGATAACGAGAAAAACCCATGTAAAAAGATTATGGGATTCAGGCAGCGTAACGCCCCCACGAGTTGTAATCCGGGAAGCAGGAGCTCTCGCTGCTGGGCACTGGGCTATAAATAAACACCTGGCTAAAAAAGGGCTCAGGGAAATCCATAAACACAGCTTTCACCCGAGCAACTGCTTCTGGCACAAAGTTGCTGCCTGACAGACGGTTCATTTTCTTCCTGGTTTTATGGGTTTCCCAGCCTCTCCCACACACTGTGGCTCGTGGTGGATAATCCTGCAGCCCACTAAGGTGGGTGCTGCAAGGGGATGCAGAAGGGTCTTGCCTTTTCACACCAAAGCCTGCTGAAACTTTGGCTGAGGGTTTCTGTAGTGGTTTACCACTTGTATACCAGTTGCTCCCTGCTGCACCCAGAGCACAGCTTTGTGAATTGGGACGTGCTGGTGAGCACTGCTGCATGGCACGGGGCAGCCCCACGTGTGAGGGAAAGGCAGCCCCAGGCGTCTTCCCAGGCAGAGACAGGACCAAATTTGAGGTTTCTACAGCATTTCTACTATTCATCTATTCACTATTCCCCAATACACATGGCATAGGCCTTGCCAAACCCATGATTTCAATCCTAACAGCCTTGGGTGCTTTACTGAAAATGTACAGAGCAATTCAGCCCTCACCAAATGCTTGAGGCCGGGCAGTGATGGGGCAGGAGCAGCCCCAGGGGGGTGCTGCAGGAAGAGGGGCCACACAGGTAACGCTCGAGCACTTCTCTGCCTGGGAGCTGCCGCTGCTTTGGGGCCAGGGGGCTGCATGCAGAAATCAGGGGGATGAAGGAGGGTGTAGAGCAAGACTGGCAACAACGTGTGTTTAAGCAGGGGGTTAATTTATTTGTGCTCATTACCCCAGTAGCCCTACGCTTGTCCAGCTGACTGGCGACATCCCCACTATGTAGATCACCCAGCAACATGCCAGCAATGCCCTGTAAGCTGCTTTAGCCTGAAACCATTGCATAAGTTAACTTAACCTGTGCAAAGCACTTTCTATGAAAGCAGCAGGTGATACCTTTTAGCTGGTTTTACATTTTTGTTGATGGGGAAGAAGCAGGAGATGCCCCAGTCCCTAGAAAGGAGCCCATCAGACCTGTTTCCCATCACTGCCTAGGACCAAGCACCTGGCACCAGCAAGGTGACCACCATCACATGTTTTGGGATGGGAGGGGGCACATCCCTGTTCCTAGACCTGTTCTCAATCCAGGTGCCTAATCCCAGTTTCAACTCAGGCTCCTGCGGCATGGGGCCTGGGTCAGAGAGGCTCCCTGTGCTCTGACACCAACATCCTGGGGAGCCCCTACATCACGACTTCCCCCAAACAAACAAAACTTATATTGGGCTGGGATTTGTAGCTGGCTTCCTCGTTCTGTTACTACATAGTGTGTATTTACCTTCCCTCTCCCCTCTGTTTTATTAATAGGAACATGCTGACTTCTGCAGGGAATGATCATCTGGGTAAGTGCAAATTAAAAAAGCCCAGACTCTGTATGAAGTATCTGTGAACCTCTTTGAAGGCTTTGTGAAATTCAGATAGTCTGCTTTGCTGGTCCTCATCCACTGCCAGCAGTGTCTCCTGAGAAGTGGTGCTTCTGAGAGAAACCTAAAGTCCCAGCTTCAGATGGAGATGGTCTCTCCACCCTTATTTGCAGTTACATTTTACTCCCTCAAAAGATTCAGTAAATTATCTCAAGAGAGTATTTCTGTCATTAAAACACACTTTTAGAGACGTAAGTTCTAAAACCCTTTGTGGTTTGTGAAGACTGGCACCACGTTTCTTTACGTGTGTATTGGAGGGTCCCTTTGTGAGCATCCCCTCCATCAGGGACCTGCCAAACACTTTGCCTTGGCAGTAGCGGTGATGACAACGGCAATCCAGGAATCTTGATTCAATCAAACCAAATGGAGTACGTAACAAAAAATAAATACATACAAAAAATCCACAACTCTCCCATAAATGCATAAAGTTACTTTATTTTCAGTATACATTTAATTTTGAAAAATATAAATGCTAAAATATCTCATCATCTTCATCTTTTGATTCCATAAAAGTCACAATAGAAAGCTTCATAAAACTGTAAAATACTATAATGTTATAAGGAATTTCATGTTTTATATTACTGGAAAAAAATCATTTTAATATATTGAAATGTTTTCTGCTTTTTTCCTTTTTGTTCCACCATCTTGATCCACTTCATTTTAAACTAAGTTTTTATTCTTTCCTCCAAAGCAAATACAGACTTAAGAGAATTAAAAATAATAAAAGTATCTGAAAGTGCATGTCGATTCCAAGGAAAAAAAAAGTAATGAGTACAAATATGTGTCGACCATGACGACAAATAATTAGTGGCTACAGAGGCAGACAATCACCATTTTTATGGGGCTGGGACAGAGCTATCTGCAGTTTGGTTTTGCTGGGTGATTCCAGGATATCAGCCCTGAGTTGGTACCTGGTTTTGTAGGACTTCTATGAGAAATTGGTTTGGGAAGCTCATTTCTTTATGGACTCTTCTGTAAGAGGAGCCTTTCCAGAAGCCGGAGGTGCTCACCCAGGCTTTTCTTTCCAAACACCCAATTCTGAACCAAAATTAGTTTCAGTTTTATTGTCACAAGGCCTACAAAATGCAGTAAAATTCTCCTTGTGGTGATGTCAGCCCATCAAATGCTATTAGATGGCTGCTCTTCATTACCTTCCATCTCTTGGTGCCAGCAGAGCTCTTGCTTGCTGTCTCTGTGGTTTATTTTTTCTAAAGGAAAAAACAACAAAGGACACACAGCCTTCAATGAAGTGCTGTTGTCAGGAAGCAGGAAAGGAAAAATTTCCCACTCCTGTTGGAAAGTTTTACGTGGAAAACTACAGAAATCTTTGTCCCATCCCTTGAACATTGCTACCCTCTGTACGACAGCTCAGTCTGGAGAAAATAAAAAGTAAAAAAAGAGAGAGAAAAAGATCTAGATCAGCAGTCAATACATTTCAAGTACATTTAACATGGTTCAAAAGTGGAAGACCTCATTTTTGTGGAGACAAATCACCAGGTAATAGCAGATGAAAAGATATGCATTGTGTGTGTGCGTATATGCATGTGTGCAGTATGCTGCCTTTTGAGCATACTGTAGGCAGGGGGTGGTGTTCTGTCAGTGCTCTCTCAAGGAAATCTTTCTATTATTATTCTATTTTGATCTTTCCTTATTTGGATTTCTACAAATAAAACGTCTGGGCAAAACGTAAAAGCTCACATGTACTCTGTACATGACACTTGAGTCTGTTTCCCCTTTGGTAGTCAGTGACTTCTGTTCACCAAGGAATGAAAACCATTTTCTACACGTTTAAGTTAGCATTGCACTTCCCACGTTATCTGTCCTCCAGCTAATCCTAGCAGGCAGCAGAAGGGATCACAAAGCGGCTGCTTTTATGGCCGCTTCGGATGTCTCCTCAACCTTTCTGAAGCAGGTTTGGGCTAGATTTGCTGACCTCTCAGGGCAACAAAGAAGAGCGGCTGCTCTCCCTTCCTCTTGCACTGCTTTCTCACAGTGAACAAAAAATTTAGGTGAGCAGAGATTTAGATTCCTTGATAACAAACTGGGGAATGTACATAGGTGTGTGCACGTGCGCGTGCTGTGCCAACGCCTCTGCAAGTCCATCAATTTTGTGCAGCAAAGAGCATTTGCACAAGGTCAGGCTAACAGCTATTACGGTCCGTATCAATGCATCATTTAACCAGATCCCATATCTGGGAAGGAAAAGCACAGCCCTATTCTGCAGGTCTGATTGGTGATCTGGCTGTTACTAGTTTGTAGATGCTAAAATTTGGCATTTAAGGTCTGTCAGCACCACGATAAAATTTTGTTTCCTTAATCAGCACGGACTTTGGTTTCTTTACAACAGGTTAGGAGGCCATTAAGTGCTACTTTTATATTTAGTATTTTTACTACATCAGAAATAAAAGAAACAAAACCACGTTAGGCATTACAAAGCAGTTTCTGCAAGTGCATTTTTTTAATGCTTGGTGGTGGGGGCTCTTACGGACAACCCCTCCCCCCGATGATGGGAAGCTGCTCCCCTTCCTGCTTAATCCCCAAATGTGCCGCATGCAGGGAGCGGCGAGTACCAGCAAGGGCCTGCCAGG